ATTCTGGGGAGAGGAGACAGACACTATAAATACATGAGTATATGTAGAGTATGCCAGGTGGTCATAAATGCTACGGGGAAAAATGAAGCAGGATATTGGAGTGCCTTGAGTGAAGGGCCTCATTGAGAGGAAAATATTTTGGCAGAAACCTGAAGGAGTTGAGAGAATTAGCCTCCAGATATCTGGGGGAGGAGGATTCCAGGAAAAGAGAACAGTGAGTGGAAAAGGGTCTGGTGTAGGTGTGTGATGTCTGAGAACTCCCTGGCAGTCAGTGTGGCTGGAATGAGACTGAGAAAGGAGGTATTGAGGCTGGAGAGGTAACATAATGGAGATGTGGTTGAGAAATTGTGTTAGTACTTTGGCTTTCACACTGTGTGAGATGGGTGGCTACCAGCTGGTTTTGAATAGATAAGCAACATGTTCTCATCTTTTAAAAGGATCTCCTTGGCTGCTAGTTTGATAATATACTGTAGGAGAAGGGAGAGAAGGACATAAGTGTGTAGGAGCAAGGGCTACTTAAGAGCCACTGCAATAATTCAGGCAGAGACAGCCTTGGTTTAGACCAGGGTGGTAGAGGTGGAAATGATGCAAAGTGATACAAACCTGATATATTTTGAAGTAAAGAAAACAGGATTTGGGGTATGAGAGAAAAAGAGGAATCAAGGATGACACCAATACTTTCGGCATGAGTAATTGGAAGTATAGACGTGCCATTTACTGTCATGAGAAAGACTGTGAGAAGAGCAGGTGTCAGGGAGAATATCAGGAGTCAGTTTGGATATTGGAGTTAGTTTGATCATTACTAGACATCTAGATGAAGTTGGTAAGTAGGCAGATGTGTGCTTTCGAAGTTCAACACATAGGTTCATTTGGGAATAGAACTCTGGGAATTGTCAACATACGTATGGTATTTAAAGTCAGGAAATCACCAAGAGACAAGTGTAACAGAGAAGTCCAAGAACTGAGTCCTGAAATATCTCTAAATGAAAACATTTAGAGATTGCTGAGATGAGGGACATTTGTCAAAAGAGATTCAGAAGGAGCAATCAGTAATATACAAGAGGACCAGAAGATTTTGGTGCCCTGAAAGTCAAGGGAAAATAGTATTTCAAAAATGATAGAATAAGAAACTGACTCATATGCTGTAGATAGGTCAAATAGTTGACCATTGGATTTAGAACTCAAAGACAGTGATCTTGAGAAAAGACCCATTGGAGTGTTGGGAGTGAAAGCCCAATTGGAATGGATTCAAGAGAAAATGAGAAGAATTGGAGACAATAGTTATAGACATCTCTTTTGAATTTTGCATAAAGAGGAACTGAGGATGGCAGCTGAAGGGGTATGTAAAATGTGGGGAGGATTTTTTTTTTTTTATTTGACAGATAACTCAGGATACTTCATCATAGCTCAGAGTGTAACACTTCTTGTTGCTTTATTGCAGTAGCCTCCTTCTGCCTCAAAGGATTAGGCATTGATGACCAAATGAATTTCCTCAAAACACCCTTCTAAATCAAGAAAGCTCTCCCTATCCCTATCTTTTGCACAAAAAATGTTTTAATGACAATTTAATAATAATCTACCAAATAATATTTAAATTCCTTAGCCCTGAAGTCAAGGTGAAAAAAAATCTGATGTCTACTCTACCTCAGCAAATTTGGTCTCTTCTCTATATACCACTTCCTACCCTTGGGACTTGTTGTAACCCCTCTATGTAAACCCTGATCTTTACCCTCCGTGTTTCTGCTTGTAATAACAGAAGTAGGGCTTCAGGGCCCCACTCATGTATGTGCATGCACATATATGCACATGTTATATGATCCCTTCATTGATGACCTGAGCCAGAAAAATACTTCTGTCATCTCCACTGCTATAGTATTTATCATCAAAACATTTTATGCTTAGCTACTGCCTTACATGCTAGACATTTTTGTGTCTTTCATGGTGTCTATCGCAAAGCACATGAATGTGTTATATGAAAATATGTTGAATAAATAAATAAGCATGCCTCAGATCTGCTAACTTCAAGTCTACTGCTTTCTCCTTTCACGATTCTGCTGTAGTCTTTGGTATGATCCAGTGTTGAGTTAAATATGAGTGCTGCCTACATCCCTAGCACTATGTCTGGAACAGCATGGTTTAGTCTACATAGAATTAGGAAATTTTCTAATTTTGAGGCAGCTGAGAGCCTCCTGCTCAGTAATCAGGAAGCTTCACTTGGAGGAGGTCTTTTATGATGGTATTAACAAACATTTGGTCATAAACTGAAAGGAAAGATGAGATCTGAGAATACAAGTGTTCCTTTAAATCTTTGTTGTCACTGAAGACAAAAGCTTAATGAAACATCTGTCCTATTAAAGAGCTAGTTTTTTTGGTGTTTTATAGTTGTAAAATTTAATCATAATTCAGTTTGCAAAAATCAAACCTTGTGCCAATCTCATTAACATTGAGCCAAGTTTCATAGTCATTAACATTTTCTCTCAGGAGGAAAAGATAGTTGTCTGCAGTTAGTTTTTGTTTAGTTCTTATGAAGGGCTTAAATACCTTATTAATCTTTCTTAACAACCTGGCAAAATAAGTAGAAATCATTAACCTTGGTAAAAGAACAGAGAGTTGGGGCCAAAATTCCTTGCTTAAATGTGTTGTCAGCTGACCATTATTGTAACCTTGAGGATTGAATTATACCTTTACATTGTCCTATAGAAAATAATTGAATAGGCCAGATGTGGTGGCTCACACCTATAATCCCAGCACTTTGGGAGGCCACGGCGGGTGGATCAAGATGTCAAGAGATCAAGTCCATCCTGGCCAACATGGTGAAATCCTGTCTCTACTAAAAGTACAAAAATTAGCTGGATGTGGTGGCACGCGCCTGTAGTCCCAGCTACTCAGGAGGCTGAGGCAGAAGAATCGCCTGAACCCAGCAGGTGGAGGTTGTGGTGAGCCAAGATTGCGCCACTGCACTCCAACCTGGTAACAGAGCAAAACTTTGTCTTAAAAAAAAAAAGAAAAGAAAATAATTGAATAACATTTTATGTTGAGAAGGATGGCTTTTGCTAGGGCATTTTATGTTCTGTTTAGTAGATTTAAAACAAACTTATTTATTTATTTACTTGTATTTTTCTTGTCTTGCAAATTATAAACCCACTGTGGAGAGGGGAATATATTTGGTTTCACTAGAATGTTTCCTTGGTGTTTGACTTCTATTGGGACATCACAAATGTTGACTAAAGGACTAAATTAGTTGTAAACACCACTGCACTCACACCAGCCAAAAGGACTAAATTATTTTTCACATATATTTTGTCAGTGAGTGTTCAAAGAGAAGAATGATTCCAGGTACGAAAATGAGAAATGTGTGAAAATCAGCATTTTACATGTATAACGAAAGTGACTTTTACCAAGGCACTCTGCCAATCTTCCTTCAAAATAATTAGCATGCAAATTGGAATTCATATTTCATGCCAAAAAATGGTTGTTGTATAGACGATTATTAGTGCGTAGGTGGTGTTTATGTGGATGCGCAGATGTGTTCAGAAACTCTTGATCTATGTGGCACTCTGAACAACCCAGCCTGTATGCACAGATGAATTACATTTCATTTCCTCATTATCCTGTGCCACAATTGCAACTCGCATATTTAAACAGGTATACCAGTTTATCCAGAGAGAATTACATATTTGAGAAAACAGTTTAATGAATTACTTCACATTTGTAATAAGTAGCTTTAATGAACTATCTAAACAAAAAGTATAGGTTTTCTGGTTAGCCAAAACTTCCTTTTGTTAATCTTTCCCTTCCTCTGTTGATAGGAAGGAAAGACTTCATTCTTCATTGTCTCTCCAATTTTGATCTTCTGTCCAGTGATCTCAACTCTGGATGATTCCAAAACAGTGAACAAAAAACATGTAATTTCACTCTAGATTTAGGAGCTCTAGAATCCATTTGGCAGGTGGGGTGACATGGAAGTCTCTATTGCACGAAAGAAAAGAAGTAATGCTTAGATCTAGGACCTGGACGGTTACCCAGACATTTGATAACATCAATGACAAAGAAATATGGATCCAATTTGAAATGCCTAGCCAGAAAGCTCCTTAATTAAGAGATACCAGCATGGTGCATGGCTATAGGCTTCCTATGGGATATGACATTTTAATTTTTTTGCCTTGTTACCTGAGGATCTTTTCAGATTCAGACCTGGCAACACTTTCCTAGCTCTGTTTCCTGTTACCCTCTTTTTTATCCTGTAACACCTGCTAACAATGTAAGAAGTTGTCAGGACACATTTGGATTTCAAGTGTCTAGAAAGTTACATCTATTCAACCAATGAATAAGATTATATAAAATTAAATATTTTAAATATTTTTCTCCTGAGTCTTATATTTCCTTCTCACTACCTTCATCTTCAGTCCTTAAATTTCCATTTTAAGCTGTGACCACTCCATGGAGAATACTTCTCCAGTGTGCAAATTTTTTCCAACACTAGATCTTTTTTCTTCTACTTGTCCTTCTGATTGCCACTTTTTTTTTTCTGTCTGTCTCTAAGCTTCTGTCTAAAATCTTAGAGCATATATTCCCTGTAGAGTTCAATAGCCCTGGGTTTCAACCCAGACTCTGACATTTATTGGTTTGTGACTTGAACAGTTTCTGTTCTCTCTGAATCTCATTTTAATAGGATCTACTTCTTGAGATTGTCATCAGAACAGAAATAGAAAGCCAGTGCTGGTGGTCTATTTCCAGGCTAGGGGTATGCTGAAATAATTCAAAGCTAAAGACATCTATACCTAATAATCAGAGAAACTTGTGAAAGGCTTCCAACCCATTTTCATTAGAAAACTCGTATTCAAGGAAAAGCAAGAGTCCTGGTCCAGTGTGCTCAACCAGTTCCAGTTGATTTCCAATTATTTAACAATTAGACCACAGGTATAAACTTATCTCTCTCTTGAATGACCAGCTTCAGTCGTCCAGAAAACCTTACCTGACTGTCTACTACTTTTCTCCAGTTTGAACTTCAATGGATGCTGATCCATTGTGACCCCCTGCGGCCCAGGAGAGAAACTTGCCATGAGCTGCCAGCCAGAATAACGGTGAGTCCCCTGACTACCTGCAAAGGCCACGTCTACCCAGCTCAACCCTCTGCACCTCACCACTTTCCCATCTTGCCACCTCCCCAGCACCCCTCCTCCCCACTCTCTTTCCCTAAGAGAGCCTGTGCTTTGCTGTACTGACTAGAGAAATATTAGGGAAGCACAGGTCATACTTTCGACCTGGTGAATAGAAACCACCTGCAGCCTGGCAGGTAGAAACCACCTGCGGGTGTGTGGTTCTCCCTTTGGCGGCTTACGGACCCTCCTCCCTCACTCTCAAACATATCCAAGACCACTTGAGGTCTACTGGCCAACACTGGCATAGGCCACCCGGGAAGGCTCCGAGGACAGCCAGAAGCTGCACTGGGGTGGATGGGATGGAGGCAGAGCTGCGTGTTCAGGCCTTGCCTGTGCGGCGGCAGGGAAGGGGTTAAGGGCGACTGTTGTCATTCTATCCGTCCTCCCCTGCCCCCTAGCTCTCCTCCAATCCCAGGACCCTCTTCGGGGCCATTCATAAACAGGGGGAACGTGCGCCTCCCGGGCCTGGACACCTAGGCAACCGCTACTCCCGGGGGTGCTTTTTCTGCAGAGACGAAGTGCCACCTATGCTAGTGGCGGGTCTGGAAGCCTAGAGGGGAAGCAGGCTGCAGAGCCGGGCCAAGGGATTAGCGGAGGGCGGCGGGCATGGCCAGGACTGCGCGGGACCGCGGGGCCCTGGGGCTGCTGCTGTCAGGGCTCTGCTTGTGCGCGGCTCAAGTAAGTTGCGAGCGAGTTTGAGGGGTGCTTTTCTCACTTTCTCCCCATCTTTTCTTCTCCAGCCCAGCCAGACCACCGACGAGGTAAGCGGGGGACAGGAAGTGTTTGCATTTTTCAAGCGCACACGAGGACAGGTGGGGGCGCAGCGGTCGGGGGAGCTATGAGGAAGGCGTGGAGCATCCTCAGGGCTCTTAGACCCGCGCTTCCTCCAGCCTTGAGCACCTGCTGGAGTCCTATCGAAGTCCAGAGCCCTAGATGACCCCTGGTCTAGGAAGGGGGCTCCTCCCCTACCTGGATCCTCCCCTCTGCAGGTTCTGGCGCTGAAGGTAATAGGTGACCCGAGACCGAGGTTTAATTCTTAGCCTGTTATTGCTTCTTACTTCCCCCCCCTCACCGCCCCCCCCCCACCCCGCCCCACCTCCTGGTCACTGTCAAGAGCAGGCCTTGCTGGAAAAGGCGGGAATCCAGGCAGGCTCCCTCTCCCGCTCCTCCAGCCCACGGTAGCTGCGCTAAACCCCGAGTCCTGCTAGCGGTGCAGGCGGCTCCAGCATGGAACCGGGTGGCCCTGGCTCCCATCAGCATTTCAGCAGTTTCCAAAAGCCTGCAGCGCCTCCCGCCTCCTGCGCGAGGGAGGACCCGGCGGGGGCGCATAAGCCCAGCTGAGGTTTGAGGTTTCACTTACAAAGACTCCATTGTAACCTGTTTGGTCGTTGGAGTTTAGAAAAACAAAGTTTTCCTTGATGAAAGAGTCTTTCTTCTTTTTCTTTTTTTAATTCAGAAGGGTTAAAAAAAAAAAAAGCCGCACATTCCCTAAGCAACACGTTTATGCTATTTCAGACGTCAGTATACCTTCTAGCACCATCGAAACGTAGCTGTTTGCAAGCGATAAAAGGGGTCACGTCCTAGAGTCAGTCTGAAATTTGGTGTAATTTTGAAGCGAGATGCAAAGACCTAATTCAAGGAACTGAGGGGGTGTCACTGCAGGTAAAACTGAAATGAGACCAGGCACTGGTCTCAAGGCTGCCCTGCCCTAATCCTCCCAAATCTTTTCCTCAAGCATACCCCCCACCTCCCCATTCTACTGGACAAAGATCCTGGTGTGGAGTCTCTGTTCTTGGCTGCTCCATTCTGGCCAAAACACTGACCTGCAATGACTGATAAATCGAGGTATCGAATGAGCCCCATTTTCATTTTTGAATCCTTTTGAGGATAAAAAGGCGTTAGACCCTCCCTTTTCCACAACTCCTCCTGGGTTTCATGCACTCTGCAGAGGTGAGATCCAGTGAAGCCTCCCCCAACCTTGAGGGCGTCAATCCTGCTCTAGCTCCACAGTTTAGCTCATTAGAGTATGGCGGAGACCAAAGCTGCGCTTGCTTGGAGGTCTGAGACATTTTTGTGTTGGGTTTCAAAAACCCGGCCTCCTCTGGAAGGTGTCTTTTACCCGACGGAGGCGGGGGCTTCAGGGCACCGCGCTCAGTTGCTCCCTGTTGCCCGATGTGCTCCACTAACCTATGTCTGCTATTTTTGCCAGAGAGGTCCCCCGGGCGAGCAGGGTCCTCCAGGGCCTCCGGGCCCCCCTGGAGTTCCGGGCATAGACGGCATCGACGTAAGTTTCTATCTTCAGGCCACCTCTGTTCCCTGGTCCTGCCCTTTCCTATTCTTTTCCCAGGGCTCCTGTGGGTTTTTAGAGAGGACCAGGGTCTCCCCTTCCTGCCACCCCACTTAAAGGCAGGATCGGACATGGGCGAGAGTTGGGGGTTGAATCCTAAGAGCCCGGGGATTTTTGGAGGGAGAGATGTCCCTGTTGGTCATGAACCTCCACGTTTGACCCTTCTTACACCATCCCCATCCGTGTAGTGAGCTCTCCTGGGATTGTCCCAGTGGGGTCCCCAGCCTATCCCGCTCATAGACAGCTCTCTCTTTTTCTCTTACCCCTCCAGGGTGACCGAGGTCCTAAGGGTCCCCCGGGTCCCCCGGTAAGTTGATTGGAGCAAATGGCGCTCCACTTCCTTCCTTTAGACGTGTTTTGCAGCCTCCTGTGTCTGAAGGGTCTCAACTTTGCACCTTTTTTCTCTCCTGCCCCCGCACCCCTCTCCCCCTGCTCAGGGTCCTGCAGGTGAACCGGGAAAGCCAGGAGCTCCAGGCAAGCCTGGCACACCTGGCACTGATGTGAGTAGGCGAGTGCTGGGAGGGCGCCCAGCCTGGGATGTGTGGTGGGTATGCATAAGTGTGTGTGTGTGTGTGTGTGTGTGTGTGAGAGAGAGAGAGAGAGAGCGAGAGAAAGAGAGAGAGAATGCGCTGTGGCTCTAAACTTGGCCTCCTGCTAGCGCCTGACTGATGGAGGAGCTGGCAGCTTTTGCAAAAGCACTTGTGAAGGTGAGGATACCTCTCTCTAGGAGGCGTTGGCATTTCCTCATCTTAGAAAACAGCAGCGGATACCGGCTTCCTGTCTCTAACCGTGACCTCACAGTGCACATTGTGAACTCTCAGCCCCACTGCGGGCAGAGCTGTACCATGGCAGTAGATTGTACTGGCGTCGGCTTACCTGCTGTGAGTCCACTGGCAGGCTCCTGGAAGCTAGCCTTCGCCCTTGCTCTTTCATTGGCACTCCCTGCATTAATTTAGGAAAAGAGTCTGCAGGTAGGCAAAGGGCCAGAGCACCCCTCAATCCCAAGGAATGTGAAAGAGAAAGATGCACTTGAAGTGAGTGGGGATGTGCGGGGGGATGGGGCGGGCAAGAAAACACGTATCATCAGATAAGAAACTAAAAAAAAAAAACAACTAGTTTTGAATTTCTAAATTCAAAACTAGCTTTTCGTCTTTCCATGGAGTTTTCCTGGCTGGCATTACTGGCAGAAATGAGCTGGCTAGGATTGCATGGAACTAGCAAGCTTTCTCCAGTTTACCCACATCTCCATCAAATGCTGAGTTATAAGGTAAACCTAACACTAAATAATACTTCTTCACAGTCAAATGACTTCAGGATTCTCAGCCTCTTTCCATGCATTCTAACGATGTGTAATGAGGACCCACTACAGACCAGTCCTTGACTTTGTCCCTGGAATACAAAGTGAAGTAAGAAATGGCGTCTGTTCTTAGAGAGCACCATGGTGCATCACTCAAGTTATTCTCCAAGTTACCACTTTATGTGTTTTCCAAAAACTAAGGACTTTTCCAAATGAAAGAAAGCACCTGAAAACCTATAATTATCATTTCCAAGAATTTTTGACTACAGTTTAAGACAGATCCTTCATTTTGAAAGAAAAATAAATAATCGGATTTTTACTGTTATTAAGGTGTGCTTTCTTTGTCAGGATTCCCATAATGAAGGTGTCTGTTTATACTGTGTCTATACTATCTAGTGTTTGTGTGTGTGTGTGTGTGTGTGTGTGTGTTTTTTTTTTTTTTTTATAATATTTCTTTTTTTTTTTTTTTTTTTTTTTTTGAGACAGAGTTTTGCTCTTGTCGCCCAAGCTGGAGTGCAATGGCACGATCTCGACTCACTGCAACCTCTGCCTCCCGGGTTCAAGCGATTCTCCTGCCTCAGCCTCCAGCCTCCTGAGTAGCTGGGATTACAGGTGCCCTCCACCATGCCCAGCTAATTTTTGTATTTTTAGTAGAGACAGGGTTTCACCACGTAGTATTTTAGGAAATGGATCTTGGTTTACTTTTCAAAGCCCCTAGTTTGAACTTTCTGTGTATGCAAATTAGCAGTACAGGAGGCACCCAAGGACTAATATTTGGATAGTAAAACCTAAATCTCAAAAGAGTGTTTGTATAATGTAATATGAACTGAAATAATATAACTTGTTGGCAGTCAAACTCTTTAGAACATTGATAATTACTTGAAATTGTCATACCATAATAAAAAGAGTCTGATAAATGCAAGGCTACTGAACAAGCTGGTAGCCTAATGTAGCTTGAATTTATTTCTATATTCCTTCAAAATTTCAATCAGCCTTTAGTCTTGGATGAAAAGAAAATTTCTGACTAAATTAAAAATGTTATTTTGGTAAATAAAATATTTATTTTGTATTTCAAAAATTTATTTTGGTAATTGAAGTGTAAATGGGTCATCTGAATGCTTGTCTTGCTATTAAGCTGCAATATAATGTCAGACAGAAAGTTAGACTTATCTGTCCCCCAATTCAGTCATGGTTTTTTTTTTTTTTTTTTTTTTTTGAGACGGTCTTGCTCGCGGGCCGGGATGGAGTTGCAGTGGCCGGATCTCAGCCTCCACTGCAAGCTCTCCGCTCCGGGTTTAGCAGCATTCCTCCTGCCTCAGCCTCCCAGAGTGGACTACAGGCACCCGCCACCTCGCCCGGCTAGTTTTGGTTTTTTTTTAAGTAGAGACGGGGTTTCCACCGTGTTAAGCAGGATGGGGTTCTCGATCTCTGACCTCGTGATCCCACCGTCTCCGGCCTCCCAAATGCGGCTGGATTACAGCTGATCCACCGCGCCCGGCCATCATGGTTTGTAGCCTGCTTCAACAAATTCTTCTCTTTACCTTATACCATGGTGTCATAAAGACAATCCTTGGTTTTGCTTATAAAGTAATTTCCCCACTCTAACAGAAATTTTGGATAAACAAATGAAAGTGCTGTGAAATTTTTAGAAGTACAACATAGAAAACAATTTCAAGTAACTTTTTCTTTGTCTGTATTTGCAGACCCACAGTGCAGCATAAACTACATTTCAAATATTAAAAGACATAAAAGAATAAGCTGTCTTAAATTATTGAACTTTGACCTCAGGGAGAAAATGATGAGCCCATTTAGCCTGCTGAGACAGGAGAGGAAAGCAAAAGAGAAAGAGAGGAAAAGGGAGGAAAAAGGAAATCCATGTATGTGCCAGTATTTTAGGCATTTTCTAGATCTCAGGGAAAAATTAACTATACTATTTGCATTTACATAGAACTTTTTCCTCAGGCACTGCCACAAATATTTCTCTTAACCCACAATAACCTGGAAAGTAGATTGGTCTAATATTACTTTCCATAGATAAGGAAACTGAATAATTATGAAAACAAGTGGCTTCCTCAGAGAACTAGAGTTATTTAGTAGCTAAGATAGCAACATAGTCCAGATGTCTTGATTTTTAGACTCCTCAGGCAATTCTGCCTCATGCAAATAGATGAGAGAGAATAGCAAGAATAGAGAGAAAAAGTGATAGTGAATTTTTAGTACCTAAGTCACCAATGAAGAGGAATGATATGGATAATAACAGCCATTTGTAATTGATATTTTATAATTATTTATAAATATTAGCATGTTTTATATTCCCTGACTTTTGAATTGAAGCCACATGAGATATCTGGAAGTGAAAAGTTTTCTTATTCCACTCTTTGACTCATTTGACATTAAAAAAATATTTTATTCTAAATTGAGAATGGACATCTTTGAGAGTAATGAAACTCAGTAATTTGATCAGAATTTGCTATTTGTTTTTCCTTGGCCATAGGGGAGCTAAGTAAGTAGGAGACCTTCAACAGTCCTTTCTTGGTAAATGAACCTGAGTGTGCTGGTAGGACTTTAAACCTCGAATCATTTCGTCTTCTGCTCTTTGGGTCATTACAAGGCTTATTTTTTGATAATATTAAAAAATGATTAATTGGATGATGGTTGAAAGGATCAGAAAGGAACCCTATTCAGTGTTCATTATCCTATGTTGAATGGATTTTTGGCAGAAAATGTAAATGAGTCATAGCAGTCATGCTTGTAGAAGTATGCCTTGAGTCCTACCAGCTGAGCTGTCAGAATGCTGGAAGGAAATCTCCATTGAGGACTGGTATTCTCTGCCAAACAGTAACATGAAGTTCAGAACACAGTCAGCTTCAATATTATCATATATAGAAGTTTGTCTGTATGAACATTCATATGAAGGCACTTTTTTCTGCTACTGGTAGTGTTTTCTTCTTTTATTTCTTTGAAATAAGAATTAAGAGGTTTTATTGCAAACTGAATTTTGAAAATTATGTATGTGTTATGTGTATGGTCTGTGTATTTCAACTCAAATCTGCCCTTTTTTCAGGTTAAGTTGATTTTTTTTGGTGGGGGGGGCTTATGGACAGATAAAATTAGATAAGACAGAACTTGGTTCTAACCTTAGGACAACTGTGCTGTTGTCAGCAATTATATTAATAGAGATTTTATTGATTGATTGATTGATTGATTGATTGAGATGGAGTCTTGCTCTGTCGCCCAGGCTGGAGTGCAGTGGCGCGATCTCGGCTCACTGCAACTTCCGCCTCCCGGATTCACGCCATTCTCCTGCCTCAGCCTCCCAAGTAGCTGGGACTACAGGTGCCAGCCACCACGCCCGGCTAATTTTTTTTGTTCGTATTTTTAGTAGAGACGGGATTTCCCCGTGTTAGCCAGGACGGTCTCCATCTCCTGACCTCATTTGGCCTCCCAAAGTGCAGGGATTACAGGCATGAGCCACCACGCCCGGCCAAATAGAGATATTTTTATATGTACTATTTGTTGTGACATGCTCAGAGAGACCTTTAAGAACAGTATTTTATTCTTTCTTATACCATCTATTTGAGATAAGCAGAAGAGGAATTAGAATAAAGTATAAGAATTATAGCTAAACCATGATAATTTTTACAGGCAGAGGTTACAGGTCTTTTGTATTCTCTGAATGTATGCAACTATTATCTGTGGCAAATACTTTATAACTAGAATTGTGAGTTATTAAGAAATTATTCTGAAAGATCAGTGTAGGTGCAAATATTCAGTCATTGAAGAAATGTGATGAGGACAAGAAATACAGTGCTGTGGTTAATACCTAGATTTTGGTTGGTTTGTTTGTAGGACCATTTCTCCATGAGGAACAGCATCTAGAACACTGTGCAGTTAGGGACCTTGCCCATGATTCCACAGCTGCCAAGTGGTAGGATCAGGATTTGAGCTGAATACAAAGACGATGTGGAGGAACAAGTGTAATATCCTTCCACTTGGAAGGCCTCCTTAAACTTATTGTATGCAGTAATCATGTCGTGAGTGGTTAGACGCCAGGGCAACATGTTAGAACTGTAATGGACGTGTGATTCTTGTCCTCATGGAGCTTATGGTTTTCTGCATAGTTATTTCATAACATGTGACACTGTAACATCTGACACCAGAATCCATTTTCAACTTAGTTCAGAGAACTTTCCAGTGATTGACATAGTTTGGCATGTCTTATGGAGGATGTTTTTAATATGAAATAACCTGAAGACAGCTTCCAGGTTATCCCACTATTTACTTGGTTCTGCTTTATAGTAACTGTCCTCCAATCTTGTCAGTTATTCCAGTCACAGGTTGAAGAGTGTTAGTTGATTGTGTGTATGAAAGTTGACCAGAATTAGTCTTTGGAGGGTTTAATGCAGTAACTGAGAGTCAGAGGTTCAATTCGTTAAATATGCCCAGAGGTTTATAAAATTTACATGCCATATGTGCGTCCAGAGAGTGCTCCTGGATGTATGGTTTGTTTGTGAAATGCCAAAGCAAACATTTCATTACCATAGGTGCTTAGCAATTAATAATGTTGAGGTTTGTTCCCAAATTACAGTGTTGTAATTAGACTAGGGCTATTGAAAATCAAAGGCAGTCTGTCAGAAGTTCTTTTGTGTGTGTTTAATATTTTTCTTCTTTGGTAAATTTCCAGTAATTAACATTTTCAACTCATTTTTTTCTACTTGCTTTGATTCACTCTGTGACATTGTTAGGAAAATTAATTAATGTAGAGAAATGTAAAAATGGTAGCCAGTGAACTAGTTTTCTATATGAATTATGTGAAGAAATTTTATGGATGTTTATTCGGACCATGACAGACTAAATATGAATTTTGGTCATCCATTTTTAAGTACGACTTTCATATTTTTCAAGAGATCCCTCTCTCAATTAATATTGTTTGGGTCTTCTTCAAAATCTTGATAATAGAAAGGGTTTATAAGATACTTATATAGGCATGTATGTATATGTACACACATATATATCATGTTTATTTTTAGGAAGGTATAATTTCAAGATTACATTGTAAATGACAGCATCCAAAAGTGTCAAAGAGCAAACAAAAAAATTAAAAGTAGAAATGTATCTTTACCAAATGTGGAAATTCTTGTATACACGTGATATTATCATTCTTTAATACATGTTTTATGTTGAGGATGATGATAAAGTAAGTACTAGTAGGGAAAATGAGAATATTTAGAATATGTATTTAATAACTGCTTTACTATTAAATATGATAATTATAAATGTGATTTATAATAGGCTTAAATTTTACATACAGAGTGGCATACGTGAACGTATATACTTAATTATAGCTATTTTTACTAAGAAAAATAATGTAGAAACATGTATGCTTTCAAATGTTTCTACTTTAAGAATTAATATTCTTTGATAAGCAATTGTCATTGCTAGAAGATGGCTAGGGGCCTGTTAGTGGCTATAAGGCAATAATAAAATTGTTTCTGTTTAATTCCTATTGAGGAAATATTTTATTGACTTCCAAGACATTGTCATAATGTAGACACAGATTTTTGTCCTGTAGAGAGATACATAGTATTTTTGTTTCATAAATGAAGTAAAGGAGGTAGATAAACCTGAGTAAATAACAGAACCAAGACCTACCAGTCTTAGCTGTTACAGCATTGTAATTGCTATGTTGCATTTTTTTTTCAAAGCAGAGACAAAAAACACTAAATTATTGAACCCTGTGATAAACAATGCAATTAGCAAGAAGTTAGGAATATGATACAACTTATCAATAAGAAATAACCACAACACGTAGACCTTGTGTTAATCTTTACTTTTGAGTAAGACTATAGTAAGGTTATTTTGTTATAAATATTTGCATCATACATATGTAACCATCCTGTAGATGATTAATAAATAAAATGAAAGTTTTCTACTTAGTGGTTTGCCTAAGGATGTTATGATAATTCTAACATCATTGTCTTGCTCTGTTAGGGATTAACAGGACCTGATGGATCCCCTGGCTCCGTTGGGCCAAAGGGACAAAAAGTAAGTTAGCCATCTGGTATTAATTGCTAGTACGAAAATGCGAAAGTATATTTTTATTGTAGTGTTTGCAAGCCAACTAACATTAAGTGATGAAGCATCTAAAATGCACTTGTTCAACTAAAATTGCGTTTAAAAACACTATGATGTGGAATACTATGCAGCCATAAAAAGGAATAAGATCATGTCCTTTGCAGGGACATGGATGGAGCTAGAAGCCATTATTTTCAGCAAACTAATGCAGAACAGAAAACCAAATACTGCATGTTCTCACTTATAAGGGGGAACTGAATAAAAAGAACACGTGGACACATGGAGGGGAACAACACACACAGGGACCTGTCAGAAAATAGAGGGTGGGTGGAGGGAGAGCATCAGGAAGACTAGCCAATGGATGCTAGGCTTAATACCTGGGCGATGGGGTTGATCTGTGCAGCAAACCACCATGGTACCTGTTTACCTATGTAACAAACCTGCATATCCTGTACATGTACCCCTGAACATAAAAGTTGGAAATTAAAAAAAAATAAAAACACCATAATGGGGTGTTTTAATGCTTTCAACATTTATGCAGTTTTCATGATTACATATTCATGTTATGAAAGGTCAGTACAATGAAACTATTTTTATTTTTAGGGAGAACCTGGTGTGCCTGGATCTCGTGGATTTCCAGTAAGTAAAAGTAAAGCTACAGAATTGAAAATGTCTTATCTTTAGGTAAAATTCTGCCATTGTGAAATCTTTAGATGTAGTTTTCTGCATAATATACATGACAAATAAGTTGATGACATCTGGTATGGTAAGCATTCCTACTGTGAGTGGAAAAATTTTAGAGAAGTTTGAATGTACAGTAGAAAATATCTATTCTATTTGTAGGTGGTATTTTCCAGTAGACAATTCCCTCTTTACCTGCAATGATAGAAAACACTTCTTGCATAACAAGAGCAAATCTAAGTATTCAATGTTTAGACCATGGTATCACACCACATTCTTCACAGCTGGTTTTATCTCTAAGGAAATATCAACTAAACAGATACTATCACTTGCCTGATTCTTTGACTAGTCTTTTTCTATATTTGCACAGTGTGGCAGGTTTGTGTTATTTGTATATATACGAGGACTAGGTTCTTAGGCTGCTTTTCCTATCTACTGTGCTCTTTGTTCCACTTTTACTCTTGTCATTAATCTGTATTGTTTCTTCTGTTTTCCTATTTGTGCTATTTTCTTTACCATATTTCAGCATGTCATCTTTTCTGTTATAAGCCTATTTTCAGAAGTGAACAGCTTGTTGGCCTTTCGCCCATATTTTTCAACTCAGCTCTTAATCTCAACATCTTACAGAGATGCCTTTTTTGTTTAGTGAAATTTGTTGAACATCTAGGTTTCTGATAATGAAATAACTTATTGATGACTTTGGTGTTTTCAAGCATAACACTTATTTCCTGAATTGGCCTACGTATTAAAGTGTTCAAACTGGAGTCATTTTTTCAGCAATGCCTTTTAAAATCCCACCGATTATTAAAACATACTGGCCATGTGAAGTTCTTGCTTGTTTTGCCTGCCCAACTAATTAGAAATAATAACATCATTATCAGTGCATTGATTCCATGGGATGCTTGGTATACGCATATTTTAGAAAAGCAAGTCTGGAATGAAAAGCTAACATGAATATCATATCACAGACAGCTGTGAATAAAAGCTATTCTAGCCAAAGTAGGAGAGAAAAGAATAATGAGAAATCCCAAGGGGAAAAAATTGAACTTGGAAATTAAAGAGAGAGAATAGAGATCTAGGTGGCTGATATTCAGTTTTAATTTCAACAAGCATATTACTAGATTTTGTTATATGCTAGGCCCTGTGCTAGGAGCTGGGGCTAGGAAGATGAATAAGATGTGGTTCAGTCCTTGGTTGTATAAAGTTTGGTGTTGCTAAAGAGATATAAATGTGAATAATAAAATAGAATGACTAGCTTAAAAATCAGATATAACATATTAAATTAGCGTCCCATTGTAGGTTACTTCAGGAGTGACACCATTTTATTTTCAATATCTACTGGATTTAGTGTCTGAAAATATAGCCTAACCTTTCGAAAGGGAGGTGTGTTTCTGACCCTTTTTTGTCCCTGCCTCTCTGTGCTGAAAGTTTGTTTGGGGAACTTCTAAACATAATTTCTTGTAGATTGTAGAACTAGAATGCTTTTAATGTAGGTTTCCTATATAACGCTACGAATGAATAAAATCTGTAAACTCTCCCGTTGTGGTGCACCTCTTTGTGAGTTACGGTAAGTTCTCCTGAGGGCAGGCATGGAAGGCTTCTTTACTTTGATTTCCTTAAAAAAAAAATTTGGAAAAATCCCAGTTAGCATAGACATCAAAGGAATGTTTGAGGAGCTGAAATAAGCTTCTGCTTCCTTTAGAAGCAGAGCCGTGTTTGCTTTTCTTTATTCAGTACTTTCTTTAGAATGAGCATCATTTTTAGTAATAGAGTTTATGGTTTATTTTAGCTGAGTTATGTCTACATTCATATTTATACTAAGTATAAACATCATGCTGTAAACATTTTTATTGTACTCTTTTAGGGCCGTGGTATTCCTGGACCCCCTGTAAGTATCACTTCATCATTTATTTTTACACAGTCTATAAAAATGTCCTATTTCTCAAATCCCCACCTTATTCTCCTACTAACAGTCTACTCAGTGGTGTTTATAGTGTTCTACCTACAAGATCTTGGGTGGTTACTAAGGATAACACTCTTATTCTGCTAAACAAAACGCTTATTAATTTAGGAAATTTCTGCTTTGTCTTAAATAATTGAAGTTTGGTCAAATGAGTGATTGTGTCACTGGAAACCAAAGCTAATACAGAAATGTAATTCTATTATTTATCATATTTGATATCATGTATGATAGATTTTAAAATATTCATAAATGACCATTTGCTTTGATTTGTTGCCTTCAGGGTCCTCCTGGGACAGCAGGACTCCCTGGAGAGCTTGGCCGTGTGGGACCTGTTGTGAGTACCACAGTGCACTTTGATAGACCTTTGCTGATTTAATAGAAGATGTTACCTGGGAAAGCAAATTACCCTAACTGTACATTTCCACTTGCGAACCAAAACATGGCAGATGAATTTCATTCCAGTTTATAATATTGGTGTGGACCAGGAATAATAATATTTTTTGCAGAGTGATTTTAATTTTTTCCTAAATTTTTCAGCTAAACTCTTCTTCCCAACTTCCAGATTGTCAAGTAAGAGAGTGTCGTCCTCATTTTACAGACTCTCAGCCAGGACTGGAGTCTACAGGCTTTTGTATTAGGCTCTCTGCATGAAATAAAAGTGAATAGCCTAAAATTATTACCATGTATATTTATGTTAGGATCATTAAGTTATAATTCAGCCAACAAAATTTAACTTTTAACATTAAAGAGCTGTACTTCATAAAAAATGTCTCATATAAAATGCTTCATATTGATATTAAGTAAACATTTCAAAAACGTTGACATAGTGATGTTATGTGAAGGTGGGTGATTGTAAACTCACTGTGGGAAGGGGCCATGTATCATATACCTTGTTTGTTCCTCTACATGTGCTCACTGTTTGCAAATTTATTTAGTGAAGAAATGAATGAATATGAAATGATTGTAAAGTTAAAATAATTGTGAGGTACTTCCGACTTTTTATGGCAGAACATCAAGAAGGAAAATGTGCCAAGAGTAAACATTGGATGTTGGCCGGGTGCGGTGGCTCAAGCCTGTAATCCCAGCACTTTGGGAGGCCGAGACGGGCGGATCACGAGGTCAGGAGATCGAGACCATCCTGGCTAACACGGTGAAACCTCGTCTCTATTAAGAAATACAAAAGGCTGGGCGCGGTGGCTCACGCCTGTAATCCCAGCACTTTGGGAGGCCGAGGCGGGCGAATCACGAGGTCAGGAGATCGAGACCATCCTGGCTAACACGGTGAAACCCCGTCTCTACTAAAAATGCAAAAAATTAGCCGGGCGAGGCGGCGGGCGCCTGTAGTCCCAGCTACTCGGGAGGCTGAGGTAGGAGAATGGCGTGAACCCGGGAGGCGGAGCTTGCAGTGAGCCGAGATCGCGCCACTGCACTCCAGCCTGGGCGACTAAGCCAGACTCTGTCTCAAAAAAAAAAAAAAAAAAAAAAAATACAAAAAACTAGCCGGGCGAGGTGGCGGGCGCCTGTAGTCCCAGCTGCTCGGGAGGCTGAGGCCGGAGAATGGCGTGAACCCGGGAGGCGGAGCTTGCAGTGAGCTGAGATCCGGCCACTGCACTCCAGCCTGGGTGACAGAACGAGACTCCGTCTCAAAAAAAAAAAAAAAAAAAAAAAAACCACAACATTGGATGTTAAGAGTAATTGGAACCCATTTTCATCTGAACGGTTTACTTCGATGTAGCTTTCTTTGATTTTTTGACCCATTGCAAGAGGTGCAGTGACGGACCAAGTGATAGATGTGGGTGAACAGCACTAGCAAGAGTCAGGCACTGCAGCGATTAACTTCCATTTCGCAGCTTCAGACTGAGTGCAAGCCTTCTTTTGCACTGGTTAGCAGGATGGCACTAGCCGTATAGGTTGCTCTGGGTCCTCTGTAAATCAACTAGAAAAATAAGTAGTGTTTCCAATTTGTTTTCAGAGTAGATAAAATGTTCGTCCTATAGAGAAGAATTGGCTTTGCTTTTTCCCCTAGCCTCTCTCTGACTTGTTTTATTACCTCGGTGAGACTGGAATGCCTTTATTATTCTCATTTTGTAGTACTAATTGGATTATGGGCCACCCATCGATTTTGGTGGCAGGTCTACGCATGGCTGAGCTCGGTGGGGGTTTCCAGTAATACCATTCTCTCATGCCTCACTGTTTTTATGTACTGTGTTTTGACACATGTATAACCACTGTGTCACAATTTTCAAATAACTTAGGGTGACCCTGGGAGAAGAGGACGACCTGGCCCCCCTGGCCCCCCAGGACCCAGTGTAAGTTATTTGCAACTTGAATTTCTCTTTGTGTCTGAGAGTCAGGGTTGGAAAAAAATCTAAGAACCCAAAATGGAAGTTCCTATTAATTGAGTCATTGCCCCAAATTTCCAAAATGGCTATCAAATTTTTCCTGCACTCAGGGCATGGTTCTTTTTAGGGCAAGAAGTAGAGGAATCACAATAATTTAAAAGGTGGTTTTTACAGGGCATATCTTACTCATTACTTTTGAAGTCTTTTGACAGTTGTGACGTCTCAAATGCTCAAAACTTAGATACATAAAGGAAGCATTTTCAAATGAACTAGTTTTTAAAAAGGTTTTCATAGTAAGAAAAATATAAAGAATAGGAGTTTAAATAGAAGATAATTCATATTTTTATTTGTAATTCAGAGTTCCCCACATTTTCTATTTTGCCTCTTATTTCATTTCCCTTCAATGCCTTCCCAAAAATAATCTACTGCAATTCATGACTTTCCAAAGAGAACATGCCCATGAGTCAGGATTTTAGAATATTAGCAAATTATCTGCTCCTATTTGTTTCTTGTATTTTATTAAACAAATATATTTTATATTCTTGCCTGATGAGCTTTGTATTATTAGTATGTTTGAATTCATTATTTAATTGTATTCTGAACCTTAATATTTTATTTACTTTAGGGAACAATTGGCTTTCATGATGGAGATCCATTGGTAAGATGCTTTCCTTTGAACAAAATATAGTTTTAATTCAAAGGCCATATAGTCTGCAGATGAGTTTTCTTTAAAAGATCTCCCTGGAATATACTATGTGTCCATGTTTTCCTTTCACTCAGATGGCAGAGCAGTCTGTAACACTAGTGGACTACTGGCTTGCATCTATTCAGACTAATAATTTTTCATTATAGATGTATCTTTGTTCTTCTATAATCTTTTTACTTTATGACTAAGACATGCTTTTCACTAGAGCATCCAGGTTTTAAAGAGATAGAATTCAAATAACTTCCTCTAGGATTTGTTTTGCTCATAGAGTAACAGTCCAATGATGGTGGTAATGTACACTACATGCAATGTTGGCCTCTTTGATGGGAGACGTGAACCTCAGGATGTGGCTAGTCTAGTGGAATGGGAAGGGGAAATGAATCCTGTCATGGTACAATAGGTTATCTGTAAACATATTTTCTTTAATAAATTAGATTTGAAATAAATATTGCAAAATATTAACATTTATTAAATCTGGATGATAGATTCATGGGGGAGGGTATTATATTCTTTACACTTTTCTGTTAGTTAGAAATATTTCTGGCTTTAAATGTGAAATAATAATAAGAAGAAGGAAAGGGGTGTTAAAATTATTTAATGAATATTATTGCAATGGAGTTCTGTAACTGGAATCCCTTAAAAAAAGACTTTGTCACAAAGCGGGAGTCCTAGTTTATGCACTCTACCTGTCTTTCTTTCTCTTTGTTCTCTCTCTCCCTGGCAGTGTCCCAATGCCTGTCCACCAGGTCGCTCAGGATATCCAGGCCTACCAGGCATGAGGGTAAGAGAAAAACTTCCAGTATTTTAAGAGTATTATCCACAGATAAAATGGAGCCTTTACTTTAAGCATTAACCTTCCTGGTGCAGAGACCTCACTTGGATGGATCAGGCAAGTAGTGCTTATTCAATCCTAGCAATTCCAGCTGCTCTTGACATGTATTCCTACCAAGACATGGATGTTTAGTCATAGGATGACTTTCTAGTTCAGGGAGAAATACCAATAAAATGCATTGGACTGAGAGACTTTAGAACACCAAATTAAGATTCAGACGTTTGCTTCCTGGCTGAGTGTAGTGGCTCATGCCTGTAATCCTAGAACTTTGGGAGGCCAAGGTGGGAGGATTGCTTAAACCCGGGAGTTTGAGACCAGCCGGGACAACAGCAGGAGACTCCTGTCTCTACAGAAAATAAAAAATTAGCTAGGCATGGTGGCGTGCACTTGTGGTCCTGGCTACTCAGGAGGCTGAGGTGGGAGGATCACTTGAGCTCGAGAAGTCAAGGTTGCAATGAGCTGTGATTGTGCCACTGCACTCCAGCCTGGGTGGTGGAATGAGACCTTGTCTCAAAAAAAAAAAAAAAAAAAAAGTGCTTCCTATTAAGGGAGATAGTGAGTGGTGGGGCAGTTGGAGGGGATTGTGTACATAATGTATTTGAAAACTTTTAGTTAAAAAAAATTTGAAAAACTGCCCAAAATAGTCAGGAAAAGAGACTTTCCAAAAGTATTTTTCTCTGTCTGCCATCATAATTACTTGAAAATTTTCCATACAAACAAATACATACCACATTCTGGGGATAAATGGCTTTCTCTCTCTCTAGTCTCTGAGTCTAAAGTGATTTTGAGACATTCCAGACCAATGGAGCTCTGCTGTGAACTGAAAGGCCCCAAGGCACTGATTTTCCATTAGGGTTTTTCTAAGGGTAGTTTTGGTGGGTTCCCTCAACTGCAGAAGATTCAGGCCTGGACAGGTGTCCTATTTTGCAAAAAGACTTCTTTGAGGGGTGAAAGTTCCGACAGTTTTCATTTTGGAATGCTTGTCTCACAGTTTTGTCTCCTGTTACTACCCAAAGCACACACATGCTTAGGACAGGTGGCCTGACAAGAAAAGACAGGGATCTTCTTTTCATGCAATGCAGCTTTCACCCACTGCCCTTTATTGCTTTCCCTTTGCACTTAAACATTGTACACAGTAGGCTGGGCACGGTGGCTCACGCCTGTAATCCCAGCACTTTAGGAGGCTGAGGCGGGTGGATCACCTGAGGTTGGGAGTTCAAGGCCAGCCTGACCAACATGGAGAAACCCTGTCTCTACTAAAAATACAAAATTAGCCAGGCATAGGGGCACACACCTGTAATCCCAGCTACTGGGGGGGCTGAGGCAGGAGAATTGCTTGAACCCAGGAGGAGAGGTTGCGGTGAGCAGAGGTCATGCCATCGCACTCCAGCCTGGGCAACAAGAGCGAAGCTCCATATCAAACAAACAAACAAACAAACAAACAAACAAAAAGTACACAGAAAGAGGCAGAAGGTTGTGCATCAGAGAAAGTCCACTTATACCAGCCCTTCCTCCACCACCAGGAAGGGGGTGGGAATGGAGGAGGCTGAAAGGTTTTCAGAGCAGCCTTCAGAGGGCAGGGGATAGCCAGCTGAGCTTGGTCAAGGCTGTCACTTCTGAAAGGTTAAGTTCCCGGAACTAGAGAAGACTTAATGCTCCTAACCTGTGTGAGGAAGTTGGAGAAACAGGGACTAGGAAATAACAGGCAGGTATCAATGAACTAGGTAATGAAGAGTCTGTTATTCTAGAGCAGTGTTTTTCTATTAAGTAAAACTGATATTAATTATATACGGCAGTCATGGTGCTGTTAAGGTCAGTCAAGGCACTGATTTTCTTTGTGACATAACCATTTCTTAGTAATACATTGGCACTGATTTAGGGAAGCAGGATCACTTTATGAGCCTTCTGATCACTTTCTGTACCAAACTCAGGACAATTATTTATTTTGCATTTGTTAGGGTCATAAAGGGGCTAAAGGAGAAATTGGTGAACCAGGAAGACAAGGACACAAGGTAAGGAGAATGGGTATTTAGTGGATAAATTGTGATTAGGAGTTATTGGTCACTTTCATTATAAGAAATTAGGAATTATAGGAAATAATGAACCATGATATTTTGCCCTTCTTTTTCAAATAATGGTTGATAAGTTCTAAGCAGATGCATCAATATTTGACTAAACATCATATTCTAAAGTTGTTTATTTACAAAAAACACTTACAAATAAGGCACCAGACATTTTCATTTTTTTCCTGTGTCACTACCTTTTCTTTTCAAATCAATCACACTCAGCTTTTTTCCTTGATGCTATGATAGTCCAACGTTATTCAGATAGTTGTTCCACTTCACCAGACAAAATTTTATGACATTTGTAAAATTTTATGACAAGTGTTGCTGAGACTAGCAAACAGAGAAGTTGGTAATTGGCTTATAGCTTCTCATCTCAAGTTCTGAAACAATTTATCTATTTATTTCTGACCTCATTTCAGTATAACCTAGATTTTGAGTAAGTGGGAGGTTAGTAATAACTTATGTTATTATCTGGGTAGAAATAGAATCCACAGCACAATTTGCATTGCAGCTGGCATGCCCTGCAGAAAAACCATGGCTGAGATTTAAAGCAAGGTCACCTATTTGCCCTTTTTTTCAACTACTAGTGTAAGTCATCTTTAAGTATCTAAGAATTTGACTTCCTGCATAGTACGTTTTGTCTCGGTAAATTTGATAATATTTTACAAAGTCAAGTAGTTCTTATTAATGCAGGTCCTCTTGACTTTGTTGACGATGTCCTTCTACCCCTTTATTGGGTAGTGACAGAAGACTAGTCTTTTCTTTGGAAGTCAAGAACTGAAGGGGCAATTTATCAATGTCTTCAGGCATTAATATGCTTGAACTTCTTAGCTAAAAATCAGTCTGTTAAATAGCCTCAAATAATCAGGATAAATAGACCAATTTTCTGTACCCTATTACAGTTTGGACATTTATTTTTAAAGTCTTTTATTACATAGGCTGTGATAGTTAAGGCATTTTATTTATCTGAAATATAACAGCTGGGTTCCCAATATCAAATTGGAGAAAATAGGAAAAAAACCTGAATGCTTTGGAAATTTCTCTGTGTGATCATTCTTCCACTGAATCTTAAAAATTGTCATTAAAAGTTTTAACAAATATAAAGTACCTGCTATGTACTATGGTTATTCTGAGCACAGGGGGCACGGAAACCAAAAAAAAAAAAAAAAAAAAAAAAAAGAAAGTCCAAGCACAGGGGACTAAATTAAATATGTCATAGCCATATAATATAATAATAGAGTATTGGTTAACTACAAAAAACAAGTGTGTACAAATATTAAATTACATCAAAAGATATTCATGAGGTATTCTATGCAGTAAAGCTGATGTAGTAGACTTCTGTTATTTTTGATGTTTGTATCCTTTTCTCCTTCTTTTGGTGATGCTTTCCTTTGGAGAACTTTCACTCCCCATCCCACAGGATTTGGAGATGGAGCTGTTAATCCAGATGCCTTTCCACTTTTCACATGAAACTGGTCTTTTTAATATTTAAACAGGTTAATTATCTAGATTCTCAAATTTGGTTTGGTGTTCAGTGGAAAACCTACAATTTTTTTTGGCATGTCAAGTAATTGGCCAAAATTTACTTAGAAAGTTGTTGAAAATTTCTTTATTTTACATTTTAGTGTCACTTGAAAGTGTAAGTGATGTCTTTGAAAATCAATAGGATGGCCATAGCTCATTGCAGAATGAACCTTGAAAGGGTGAGCAGATAGACTGAACTGAAACTGAAAACAGAATGGTAAGAGCTTGGAGGCCTGAAGTTTGGATTCAAATTCACAAATTTGTCTTGAATTTTACCCTACAAATTAGTTAATGAAGATCTTAAAAACTGTTTATGAATATAGGAATGAATAGTAAAATTTCAATAATTAAAATGTGGTATAAGTAACATTATACAGCAGGTCAATACTTATCCAAAAATCATAGTGAAATGATAATAAATTGCTACTCCTAAATTTGTCATTTAACTTCCAGATTATGGATTAGTTGTGTGGTTTTCACTTGTAGGTGAAATAATTCAAATATATGATTCCAAAGTTTATGGAGAATCTATGGAAAATATCCTGTACCTAGTTATGGAAAAATTGCAGTGGACATATCAATCACTGCTGTTTTGTATCTAGTTTTATATTTTTGTAGGGAAATAGAAGTAGCATTTAATTAGGCACATGTGATGATTATCCATGCCAAGAACTAGCTAATTCTCTGGCTTTCCCATTGGGACTGCCTCTTCCCACTGTCAGTTATAGATTCTAGTGAAATATAATCTGAATATAATTATGAGGCTAAAACCAATATGTATGACTCTCATAATTTGTTTAAAAAATCAAGATAAATGATTTCAATATTGTCAAGATTTTAACTCTTGCCATATTACTCTATTAATTTAATGCAGTCCTAGTACAAAGCAAGTAGACTCTATAAAGATCTGCCCAATGATTCTAAAGTTGATTTGGAAGAGTAAACATTTAGGAAATCTAAAAAATAAGAGTAACTGTAAATGAAAAATACAGATAAGGGAATTCTCCTTACCTAAGATTAAAATGTATTATAGAATTTCAGTAATTAACATGTTGTGGTATTGGCAATGTCATATAATAGATCGGCAGAGCAGAATCAAAGTCTAGAGCCAATAACAATATAGCATATGTTAAGGATGAATTTTGAAACCTGTGTGGAGAGAATCTATTATTAGAAGAGTGGCCAGTAAGTAAGAGAGAAAAGAAAAGATTTCTATGTTTTGTTTTACATCAAAACAAATTACTGATAATTAGAGATGTCTACGTAAGAAGTTACAACATTACTAGAGCAAAAATATAAATAAATGTGTATTTTTGGAGTGGAAAAAGCTTTTCTATGAGTGACATTAAAGGTATAACCCACAAAAGAAATGGCTGATTTGCATTAAAATATTGTATATAGTGCAAAAATTATAATAAGAAAAGCTAAAATAAAAATCACAATGAAAAAATATTGTAGTTTATGAAAAAGTTTTCATAGTATAATTACATTTTTCTAATAATACATCCCCCCCATTTGACACACACTTGGAACATAAATGAGTAACTTTTCTCTCTCTCTCTCTCTGTCTTTTTCTTGGTATCTTTGTCTCTCTTTCTCCTTCCCCACTTTAGAAAAACTTTGAAAGGATAACATCTAAATGTTACTGGTATTTATAGTTAAATGGTTGTATTCAGGTGACTTTTTATATGTATACTTCTCCGTATTTTCTGAATGTTCTACAATTAATTTGGACTGCCCATATAAAATAATTTAAGAAAGTAGAATAATTCAGGAGTCACCAAGTGAACTTAAAACATACTGAGTTAGACCAAGCCTATTTCTATGTTCATTTGCTAGACTAACCTTTGATGTGCTTTTCTTTGCTTTTTTTTTTTTTTTTTTTTTTTTTTAAAGGGTGAAGAAGGTGACCAGGGAGAACTGGGAGAAGTTGGAGCTCAAGGACCTCCAGTAAAGTATTTTTAAAAAAATATTTAACTAGGATATGTAAATATTCTTTTTTCTTCCATTACTGTTGGAATATTTTCTATTTAGCAGTTGGATGAATAGTATTACATGAACTTGGTGTCCTCTATTTTTCTACTATGCCAGCATTAGGGGATAAGTACTTTTTCAAAATAGGAGAGGGTCTTCATTATATATTGTAGCACTTTTTTCAACAGAAAAATTCTACCTATAATTACATACATTCATTTACCAGATTTCAGGTCCAAGCAATTGAAAAGCAAGTACTAAGCACAAGAGGATGATACATATCTTTTATGTTCTATTGTATTATCACAAGATATAATGAGAAAATTTTGTGTATTCTAAATATGCAGTAGGTATATCATTTATTGGATTAATGTAGCTTATTCCAGTATGTAATCATTATAATTAATTAAAACATTCTTAATTGCTCATATCATGTCTTTTAATAAAAAGTTGGTCCCTTGTGCTTTAGCAGATTTCCGCAATAATATTCACAGTAAGGCGACTTGGGGCATCATCAAACTTCAGTTTCAGATGTTGTTAAATCAGAATTTGCATTACTTTTGTATTACATTAAAAAGGAGTTGTTATACCTTTTTCTTGTTAAAATGAGTAATGACAATTTTGGAAATAATAATTGAAGACTATTAATTTAACATTGCAGCTAGCCAGGGCATAGACTATGTAAAAGACTAGCTCAGGTACTATTCTTAGAAACTGAAGAGTTGAAGACAAACACAGGAACACCCTTTGCCTGCTCTGCTCTTCTCCACAGGACTGGCTGTTTAAAAAGGGTTCAAGGAGCTGCACAGATTAGTGTTTAAGGGCATTTAAAGTGTAAGGGAAATTAAGCTAAAGGAAGTAAGTCAGAGGATCTGGAAGAAATGGTCTCTGCTTTTAAGCCACATGAGAACTTTCAGGGAATCTGTGGTGTCCAGCGTGTTTGTTTCAGAAGTTTGCCCTCCCCTGAGTGTTTGCCATTTGAGACACTAAGAGCTGGACTGTGTTTCGCAGGTGGGCGATAGGGATACATGGTGTAAGTGACATATGCTTTTTTTAATCTAATGAAAATTTGGTAGGGATTTAAATTTTTTTTTTTTTATAAAAGCCATTCCCAAAGATTCTCAAAACAGGATTTTGCAAACAACATTCTAAAACAGTGTTTACAGGGATTAAGGATCTATGTTGGGTGCTGCGTGGCTCAAGTGGTCCATTGGGAGATATCTGTTAGTGCTTGATGACCTTCTGCTCTTTGGGAATAGGTATGCCAAATTTTCAAAAGCATGTACTTTTTAAATGTACATGCACAAATATAAAGTAATGCACAACTTTAAAAAATATGCTTCTTGGAATATTTAGAGAAAGCTCTGTTCTTCAAACTAGACACCTCAAGAGACAATATGTGGTATTCTTGTGTCATTGCTATTGACACAAATATTCTTTTTATAGAAATAACTTTAGAGCTAGGAAATGAGCTATACAAGAAAGAGCAGCTTTCATCTGATATGGCCACATCTCACTCGATATTCTAAATGGATATCCTAAACTGGATCATCTTGCATATTTGAATTGGAGGTCATTCCTGACAGATCTACATAGAATCTGTGACTGGTCTGAATGAAGAGTTGGTCATGGACTTGCCCCCTTTTCTCCAAGTGAGAAGAAGAGAGAAATGGCTGGCCTAGAGCTCCTTTATCTTAAGCCAATGGGGACAGTTAGCAGGTTGTCCAGAAGTAGCTACCCCCACTTTCCTAGTGGAACATCCACCCTCCTCTGCTTCCAATGGTATTCCCAGGCTCACTCCTTCCAGGATCGATTTTTGGATCCCTCCTACTATGGGGCCAGAGAGTCCAGAATGGTAACATTTCAGTATTGAAAGAGATCCTAGAAATCACACTTAGCCCCTCGTTTTTAGGATTATCCACTCTTATGCCTAAGATAGGTTCCTATTGCCCCAAGTTGGAATTCAGAATGCCTTTCCTCATAAGAATGGTATCATGAATAGTGACTACAAGGGGTTGATGGAGGCTCCACCTCCTTTCTAGGTTATAGGCTTTCGTGGGCTAGCCTGGGAAACTACTACTTTTGATGGTGTCCACTGGTGGGAAAAAATTATTTCAAGGTTTAAAATCATGTTACATGTCACCAAGCTACATGCCATGAAGGAAGTGGGAATAATAGTATCAGTTCTATATATGAGTTAAAAGGTAAGTCAAACATATTATCACAATTTCTCTTATGCTGGTATTTACTTTTTTGTCAACTCCAGTTTTGTGTAAGACTTCAGAATTTTATAAAAATGTTTACGATCTGAAGAATTCTCCCTGGACTTTCTAAACTAGAAATGTTTGTCTATATATTGTCACTATTTCTTAGTATTACCTTTGGTTATGATAATCTCCATTTTCTAGATCAGCTTTTGTGATGAGATTTTAAAAAGCTTTGCTTCAACTAAAATAATTCGCTTCTCTTTTTTATATTTCCAGGGAGCCCAGGGTTTGCGAGGCATCACCGGCATAGTTGGAGACAAAGGGGAAAAAGTAAGATGGTGATGACAATAATATAATATCAAAATGTGTTAAATATTTAAAATTCTGGCTATTTAAACAAAGCTTTTTATTCAACAACTTTTTTTTTCTTTTTTTCTTTTCTTTTTTTTTTTGAGAAGGAGTTTCACTCTTGTTGCCCAGGCTGGAGTGCAATGGCACAATCTCGGCTCACTGCAACCTCCACCTCCCGGGTTCAAGCAACTCTCCTGTCTCAGCCTCCCGAGTAGAGTAGCTGGGATTACAGGTGCCTGCCACCACACCCAGCTAATTTTTGTATTTTGTAGTAGGGATGGGGTTTCACCATTTGGTGAGGTTCGTCCTGAACTCCTGACCTCAGGTAATCCACCCAGCTTGGCCTTCCAAAATGCTGGGATTACAGGCATGAGCCACCGCACCCAGTCTAACAACATGACATTTTATGATGCTTTGTAGATGTGTGATGAGGTTTTCGCAATTATGTTGTAAGCACAGATAATAGGAATGAGCAGTATGCATGATATTTGCCATGTATTAATCTATTTTAAATTATATTGAGTAAATCAGAGTAAACAAGGTTTTTACATTTTACCTCATTGTCATGATCAGCAGTTAGCATTGATACCACTGGCACAGTGCCTGGAGTGCTTCTGGTCAGGCAAGACAAAGACAGGGAGGATGGAAAATGAGAGGTAAGCCAAGGCAGGACATCCCCAAAGACACTGGGGCCTCCAGTGACCCACCTGCAAGCTGATCCATGAGCCCTGCCCTTAGCATGGGTTATACACTTATGGCTGGAGGACACTAGCCTGCCCTTAGACCTGTCTCAGAAACCAGATTCTCCCAGCACTTCCATACCAAGGCACTCTGCAAGCTGCTGGAGAGATTCCAAGGGGAATAAGACCTTTATCAAGTCGGTTATTTATTGGGCGAGACAAATAAGTAGTTAACTATAATGCAAGCAAAAGAGACATGAATCTGAGGGCCAGTGGTATGATGGAGTGCAGCAGAAGCAGGGCTGATCTTGATATGAAAACTGAGAGAGTCCATGAAGGAGATGGCATTAGAAGGATGAGGTGTTGCCATTGGTGGAGGATGAAGGACAGGCAATGCTTAGCTCAGTGATTATCATCACAGAATCATCATGATGCATTCAGAAGTGTTTTCCTTGGCATGTGTGTAGGGATGTGGTTAGCCTCTCTATCAGATTTTGAGAAAGTGGTTACCACTTCTTGGAAAGAATGTTAGGAAAGTTAATTTATAGGCTTCAGAAAATACAAAAAGCATCTTTGCTCCCCACCACTTCTGGCCCTGACCTCTTTCTCTTTATAACCTCTATGGTTAATTGGTGTCAGTTCCACCACCAGCACAGAGCCTTTTATTAACAGTTAAGGAATAATACATTGTACATTGTACATGCTTGATAAATGAAATGAAATTTTTCTTTTTAAAAAAGAGATGCACAGCTTGGTGAATGAAGGATCAGGCTTATTTATCAATTTTTTTTTTTGTCAATTTAATGTTTTCTTTCCAGGCTCTTTGTCACTTCTAGGTATTTTCATTCTGCCTGCTTTCCTTATCCATTTTTTCGATCAATATTTCTTTTCTGAAAACTTTGTGTTTGTAAAACATATTAGATGCATTCATATTTCTATATTTATGTTACCTTAAGTAACATTCAGTGTGTATCTTTTCTTTTATTAGATAATAGATCCCATTTATTTCCGAGCTGCTGATACCTTCATTTTTTCTGGATTTAAATCATTCCCTAGAATATGTGACCCCTCACTTTGAAACCAGTTACTGTTCTTGATATGGTCTTCATTTGAGATATTTTTCTGTTTGGTATTTTTCAAACTTCTCATTTCCTCTGAGTTCTGTCAAATTGCTTTAAAAAAGAAAGAAAGAAAGAAAAAGCTCTTCTTGTGAACTCAGACCCATAGAGTTGTTACCTAGTAACAGCAGTTTGAGTCTAAGCTCATGCTGAACAGCAGTAAGAGAGAGAGAGAGAGTGCATCAAAGCCATTTCTATAATGCAAAGGTTGGGTTCTGCTCTTGTAATGCAAGGTGAATGATAAATTCAAGGTCTTTTTCAGGTCTTCAAAATCCCTTCTTCTCTGGTGAATGTAGAATGCCTTTTGCTCTGTCCTACTTTTCAGGGATCAAAGAATTTCAGGGCTCTCTGGTACCTCTGCTTCAGTTGAGTGCTTTGTTCTACCTATGTCTGAAGCTTCTATCATGGATTTTCTAATTTTTAATTCTTACTACACATGCTGTCCACCTAGTTTCCTTGATTTGACACTTGATTCAAATTTGACCCTTGATTTCTTGGCCTGACATCTATCCAGTACTCTTGATTGTTTTTCATTTATTTTATCATCTTCACATCTCAACCTGGTTCATTAGAAGGCTGCCTCATTATGCCTTTTTATTCACTTAGTAGATAAGAAAAAGAAAGACAGGGGTTATATTTTGTCAGATAGCATACATACATGCAGATAGCACTAAAAACACTTTTTAAGATCTTAAGATCACATTTTGATTCTCATGATGAAAATAAAGAGGTGATAGTGTACAATACGTTAGCCACATCAGAGATTATTTCAAGATAATTAGATTTATAAAGCTCTGAGTCATTCTTATGTCATCACTTGGTAAAGTGGATCTGTTCTTGAGAAAATAGATTGGTTACTTTATGCGAATTGAACCTAATATCTGTCTAGGATGGGAGAGGGTATACTAAGGTCCTTCCCGTAATTCCTTCCATGAATCACATGGCTGGACTTCTTATTCCAGATCTTGGTGGGAGATCCAGAATCCCAGAAATCCCTTTCACAGTGTGGCAGCACCAGAGTATAGCAGTTGTTCTTAGAGTGGCTCCATGGCCTTCACCGTTAATAAATTTTTTGTGTGTGCTTTTGAGACAGGGTCCCATTCTGTCTCCCAGGCTGGAGTGCAGTGGTGCTCCCTCCACTCAATGCAATCTCCTCCTCTGGGAGGAGTGATTCTCTTGCCTTAGCCTCCTCAGTAGCTGGGACTACAGGCATGTGCCAACAGACCCGGCTAATTTTTGTATTTTTATAGAGACTGGGTTTTGCTATGTTGGTCAGGCTGTCTCGAACTCCTGGTCTCATGTGATCCGCCCGCCTGGCGGTTAATGAATTTCTGTAGAAATGTTAAGAACCCTGAGAGTAGCTACCAAACTTCTTCTAATAGATTTACCGATCTATTAATAAGCACCTGTGTGTTTAGCTCATGTCAGCAACTGAGAATTGGTGCAGTGTTAACTTAAAACACACAGAGTTGCCCGGGTGCAGTGGCTCACACCTGTAATCACAGCACTGTTTTGGAGGCCAAGACAGGCAGATCATGAGGTCAAGAGATCGAGACCATCCTGGCCAACATGGTGAAATCCTGTCTCTACTAAAAATACAAAAATAAGCTGGGGCATGATGGCATGCGCCTGTAGTCCCAGCTACTCAGGATGCTAAAGCAGGAGAATTGCTTGAACCTGAGAGGTGGAGGTTACAGTGCGCTGAGATCACACCACTGCACTCCAGCATGGGCAACAAGAGCGAAACTCTGTCTCAAAAAAAAAAAAAAAAAAAAAAACCAACAAAAAAACAGGGTGGCATCAAAGATTGTGTTTAAGTACAGTTGGTATGCTGAGTAGATGTAAACAAGTGTTTTTTTACCTGAGGTGCCTGAGTAATTACTCCTCAGGGATCACTGTTTGTATTACAGGCATGAAACCTCCTTTTCATCTGGCTACTAAATGTCTTTAGAAAGATGGATGCTTCCTTTAACATACATGACTGATCTCAGTTTTTTCCACTGTCTTGTTTTTTTGCAGGGTGCTCGGGGCTTAGATGGCGAACCTGGGCCTCAGGGTCTTCCTGGTGCACCTGTAAGTGATTTTCCTTCCACAAAGCCCAATGATAGACTTTTTTTTTGCTATGTATGCATATGTGTGCAGTATTCTTTACATGTGAATAACTAAAGTGGAAAAATGGACAATTTTTATGTATATGTTTAAATTTAAATTTAATTAAGACAAGTATCTTTCTTGGGTACATAGAAATGTTCTTCTGACGTGATATGATTTTTTTTCTTCACAGATTAAGCCAAATTATTAAGTATTTATGTTTGCTGTGTTTTCCTTTTCTTTGGTTGTCAGGATGCGTTGAGTCTCAGTAACTATCTCATTTCTAGTTTCTTGCCCATTTGATATTTTTCATTTTCTATGGTTCCTGACTTCATTATTCCACATTTTGATTGCCATATGTCCATGTGTCATTATTTTAGATTTCCTCAAGCCTGTTTTTTGAGGGAAATAGACAAAGAAGCCATCCATTGATAACTGAATATGCCACATAAAAAGCAGAAAAGATATAAGAAAGAGAGAATTTCCAACTGTCAAAGAGAATTTCCAACTGTGTTCCAATGGGAAAGACAGAAAGTAACTCAATGATAAACTATACAAGATCAAATGCTAAAGCATAGGATAGATGTCATCCATGTAAGAGGACCTGAGGGGGAGGTTGGTTTGAAAGCCTGTGGGCAGGAAAGGCAGCAAAGTACAGGGGTGGCACCGTTGGTGGTGATGGGATATATGTGCTGTCATAGGGGCTGTCACTGCCTGGAGTTGAAAGTTTGGTTGAAAAGATGAGATTGGATGGATAAGGTAGAACTAAATCATGGAGAATGTTTAATGCCAACCTGAGGCATTTGAACAGATCCAGTAGCAATAGGGAGCCATTTGAGGTTTTAGAATTAAGCAACTCAACAAAAACTGTATTTTAGGAAGACACAGCCTCTTATCTATTACCATCTGTAGCATATATCAATATTAGCTAGATCACTTCGACAGAAATCACTAATATTGACTGTGGGATTAAATAATATGAGGGAAAGATTGGCAACTAATCCAAACCTCAAACCTCTGTAACAGTCAATGAAGTTAGCTGATATGTACATGCAGTTACTGATGTCGAAATCCACTGCATGGAGCCATTATATGTTACACGCAAGAACACAGAGGCATAATGCATTTAAGGGGAAAACAAAAGACAGTCAAGTCTTAGTTATCTCTATGGTAATATCCATTTTTGAGACAATGCCATTTTTATAGAAAAATTTCTTCATCTAGACTTCCTTGATAGAGCAAAGTCACTGTGGTGGAAGACCAATAGTTGGGTGACATGGATGATGCTTTCTAATTTTTAAAAGTTGATTGATAAGTAACTTTTGCTTATATTAACAAATTTTATTTTCATACAGGGTGATCAAGGACAGCGAGGACCTCCAGGAGAAGCAGGTCCCAAAGGAGAGAGAGTGAGTTTAAATTCGTCACTCTAAGCCTCCTGCTTTTCAGTGTCATCTGCTGATTATGCTGATCTCTTTGACATGTCTAAGTATTATGATAACTGAACATGTTTTATCTATTCTTTCTCTTCCGCCCTGCAGGGGGCTCAAGGTGCTAGAGGAATTCCTGGTCTCCCTGGGCCCAAAGGAGACACGGTATGTCCTGAGCTGTAGTCATCAAGCACATTTTTCAGTGATCATTGACTTGCAATAAAACTTTAGAAAATAATGAAGGGAAAAAGAATGTGACTGTATGTAAGAGACAGTATGTTGCTTTGTGTGTGTTTAGGGTTTGCCAGGTGTGGATGGCCGTGATGGGATCCCTGGAATGCCTGGAACAAAGGTAGGCTGTGTAATTTAGTCCAAGAGTGAGTGGGACTGCCTCTGCCCTGGCCAACTGAGCGCAACATTTCCATTACTAAATCACCAAAATATTTATTTAGCTAGCTTTGGCTTTTTCCCTTCCTTTAATTTTTGAATCAAGTGTCAAGTATGAAATATTTGTTGGAATAGTATAATTATTTGCTTGGTTTCAGGAACTCAGTAAAATTACCGTGTTGATGAAAGTAGGTTGAGAGAGACTGTGCGTTTTGGTTGAATTATGTCCTATTTCCCACCCTACTCCCTCACCCTAAATTAAGTCACTTTATAAAAGTGCATGTAAAGTCAGCTGTTGGGACAATCCTTTTACTTAAAACATCTGTGCTCCTCCCTTTCTTAAAAGTGATACAGCAGTTCATACAGGTTCAATCATGTGATAAAAGCTTTTTTTGCAGGGTGAACCAGGAAAACCTGGGCCTCCTGGTGATGCAGGATTGCAGGGGTTACCAGTAAGTATTTGATTCTTTACATGTTAATTGGTTTATATACATGTTTTCAAGATAGACATTTTGGGGAGAGACATGCTACCTAATTTGATAAGTTCTGGGGAAGATACGATGTTTTACTTTTACATTTTTACAATTTACATTTGTATTTTATATACTTGTTCTCTGAATAACTATTTGTGTAATAACTGTAAATAATAGGCTTTAATTTTATGGTTTGGATTCCTTTTCTCTCTTTAGTTTACTCAGTCTTTTTAATATATTTTTTAACTAACCCTAAGCTGTAGGGTTATGTATATTTCATTCCACTTTAAACCAGTTCTAAAGTTCTTCTTAGTAGGGTTAAGCTACAAGAGTGCTGAGAGTGTGATCAGTTGACCCCTTGGATTATGTACTATTTTTAGTCATTCGAATTGGTGTTTCCTTGCATTAATGTGTCTGGAAGTTCATGTGGATTGTACCACGTGTATTCTTGGCTCTTTGGAGACAAATCTTTCTAATTAATAAAGAATACTTGGTAATATCAAAGCCTGGCCCCCTATCTTTTATGACACCTAATGCTTTTTAAATAATCAGATAAATTAGCACTCCCAATAATATCAAATCTGAGTTAGACCCAGCATCTTCCTACCATTTTGTTTTTCTACTACAAAGCCCAACATTTTTGAGAGGTCTTATTTTATTACTCCGTACATGAAACCATGTCACAAGCCTGTAGTCTCTGTCCTGCCTATTAGAGCTCCTCTTGACCTGAAAATGGTACTGGATTCTAATTTGGGAAGTTTGTCCTTGAAAAGTAACTTTAGTTTAAAGGCAAGATTTGCTTTAAGGGCATTTAGCTTTAACAAGCCAGATATAGTAAAGTCATGCCCTCTAAACTGTGGGTAGTTCTATAAATGACTGTGCAGGGTTTGGGAACTAGGAAGCATCTTCCTCACAGTAAAGCTTTGAGGTTGCCATGATTCCCTCAGCCTCCCTGCAGTGTGCAGTGGGCTTGGCATCTCATGGATTCTCAGAGGAAGTGATTAAACTCTCATTGTGTATGTATTCTTTTAGGGTGTACCTGGAATTCCTGGTGCAAAGGGTGTTGCTGGTGAAAAGGTAAAATATTTTAAAATTTAAATTAATATTTTTCTTAATTTCTTTATTATTTACTAACATATTTATAATTTTTAATACTTTCAGCATGTCTTTTATTTTATATTTGGCCCTAGGGAGAGATACAAAAGTAAAAGTGTTAAGGCTTCAAATACTAATCTTTTTCCTAACTACAGAAAGCATACTTTGATAAAATGCTGCTAATTAGATTTCCTTAATGAAAATGTCATCCTTTGCCAGTATAAAACAGAAAATTTTATTGTTCCTTACTACCTAAAATAAGGAAGATATTGCTAAGCCGCAGAACTTGTGTCAGAGACTATTATTAGGATGATTCAGCTAAACTAAAAAGATACTAGGCATTTTTTTCACGTTCTGATTGACCTACATAAAACAAAAATGTAAGCAGTTAAAAACAATAGGTGGAAAAAATTTTAAGGGATAAAATATAGCTTTGCTTGAGAAGAAAAGAGATAAAAGGTGAATAATATAGAGATTGGTCGCTATTAGAGTACCAGGCTGCAACCCTCCAATCACAGCGGTCTGCAGCATCTTGAGCTGCACAAGAGATTGATGGTGGAGAGGGCGTCTCCAGACATGTGCTTTCCCTAGAGCTTGCTGGTGGGGCTTTCTCAGCAGCACATCCTATTTCCCCATGTTGGTTGGATTCTTAATAATTTCAATAGTTTAATGTAAGATAAAAAGAGTCAAAGAATTATATTGGAGGTAGAAATGGTAAAGGAAAGACATATATTATTATTGTGAAGAAAGAAAAATCCTATAATTGAAGAGGATCCCCTTAAATGAAGGCTAAAACCGCTGATTGTTTGACATTGGACCTGTAATATATTTCTTAGACTCACAGACAATATCCTGAATCTAAAGAATTTTGATGTATCTAACAGGAAAGAGATTCTGTACATTCCCAGGTTCTCAGTGTGAAAGCAGGGAATTAATGCTATTCAAATGTAAGAGATACCCAGTCTGGGTAAGGCAGATTGATGATTATGCTTACTTCAGCATGAGTTACTTTGAATGTTGCATTTTACCCTTAGGGTAGTACAGGTGCTCCAGGGAAGCCTGGTCCGATGGGAAATTCAGGCAAACCGGTAAGACACCATTTTACCTCTCCCCAAGTTCTAACCTGTTGTAATCAGTATGCGTTAACTTTTTTTCTACCTTCCTTCCTCATAACAGGGCCAACAGGGGCCTCCAGGAGAGGTGGGACCCCGAGGACCCAGGGGGCTTCCTGTGAGTATTCCTTCCTTGCTGTGCTGTCCCAAAGCACCTTCTCAGGACTTTGTTGGATGTTCTTCCATTCATTCATTCATTCATTCATCCATCCATCCATCCATGAATGCTGTCTGATGTTTGAGCCCATGCTAGTCCAAGACAAAGAGATGAAGTGCTATTTAGATGCACAGCATGCCTTTTCAGAAAATGGAAACAAAAATAAAATGCCTCAAAAACCATGGTGACCCTTTCTGCTCTCATCCCATGTTGAAGGAAATATTTTAGTGTGATTTAAAAACACCCAACGTTGAGATACAATTCACATACTACATAATTCACCCATCTTTATTGATTTTTAGCATATTGATGGAATTGTGCAACCTTCACCCCAATCAAGTTTAGAATATTTCCATCACCTAAAAAAAGAAATCTTATACCCACCTCCCACCTGTAGTCATCCATCTTTTCCTCTTAATTCGTTCGGTTTTAGACAACCACTAATCCACTTTATGTTTCTATAGATTTGCCAGTTCTGGAATTTTCATGTAAATGGAATCATACAATATGTTAGCTTTTTGTTTTTTAAAAAATAAATAATTAATTAATTTTTTAAGAGATACGGTTTCTCTCACTCAATCACCCAGGTTGGGGCGCAGTGGCGCAATCATAGCTCACAGCAACCTTGAACTCCTGGGCTCATGAGGTCCTCCCACCTCAGCCTCCCGAGTGACTGGGACTAAAGGGGTGCACCACCACACCTGGCTAATTTTTAGGTTTTTTTTGTAGAGATGGTGTCTTGCTATGTTGACCAGGCTGGTCTTGAACTCCTGGCTTCAAGCGATCCTTCTGCCTCAGCTTCCCAAAATGTTGGGATTATAGGCATGAGCTACCATGCCCGGCTATATTTTATTTTTTTTTCCTAATGATTGGCTTCTGTCACTTAGCATAATGTTTCAAGGTTTATCTATGCTGTAGCATGTATCAGTGCTTCATTCCTTTTTATTCTTGAATAATATTTAATTGTGGGGATTAATTATGTGGATATATCACATTTTATTGATCCATGCATTGGGTGATAGACATTTGGATTATTTCCATTTTTTTGGCCATTATCAAACGTGCTGCTATGAACATTTGTATACAGGTTTTTGTGTGGACTTACGTTTTAATTTTTCTTGAGGGCCTACCTAGGAGTGGAATTACTGGGTCATAGGGTAGCTCTGCTTTGGAGAAACCACCAGACTTCTCTTAGTGTGAGTTTGTAAACTTGTCTATTTTACAGCAGCCATAGCAATGACTATTTTCTCACTATATACAGTTTAACCCTAGAGAGAAATTGATTAGGAAATTAAATATTATACACTTAAATTTGACTTTAAAACATTCTCTCTGGCCTTCAGTTTCAGTTCTTATTTTCAAAGGCTGCTGAATAGCCAAAAAAACTCCAGGTGGGAACACAGAAACATTTCCAAATATCATTATTACTTCTTTTGAAGCATTTCTTGGGCATGTGGAATGAAGATTTTCATACTTGAGAAAAGTGAAGTATTCCAGGTGTCTTGTGGCATGAGAATGGAATTTCTTCGCTTCTCACAGATATTTGTCAGCCAACTTCCACCAGGTGGTTTCCTGAAATTTCTGTAGCCAAAGCAACCAGCTCATCATGCCCCCCACTCACTTGCTCTGTGCTTCTTTTATGCTTTTCTTTTGCTTGAAGCTTGTGAATTTCTAATTAAAATACTTTCCATAAGTTAACTGTCGAAGCAATGATGTTATAGCCAGATCACATTTCTAAAACAATGAAGATGCTATATGACGAGCCCAGGAAGATTGAGCAGTGTGGGGCCATTAAAGCTTTGTGAGTGTTTACTATTACATCTCTTATTCATCTTATTTTATTTTATTTTATTTTATTTTATTTTATTTTATTTTATTTTATTTTAAACAGACTCTTGCTCTGTTGCCCAGGCTGGAGTGCAGTGGTAAGATCATGGCTCACTGCAATCTCCACCTCCTAGGTTTAAGTGATCCTCCCACATTAGCCTCCAGAATAGCTGGAACTAGAGGCGTACACCACCGCGCCCAGCTAATTGTTTTTTTTGTACAGACAGGGTTTTGTCCTGTTGCCCAGGCTGGTTTCAATCTCCTGAGCTCAGGTGATTCACCCTTTTTGGCCTCCCAAAGTGCTGGGATTGCAGGTGTGAGCCACCTCGCCCGGCTGTATTAGACACTTGAAAGAGCAGAAAGCTCCATATAGTTAAAGGAACATTGACTGACCACTTGTTGTGGGTCAGGACCATGCGTGAATACAAAACATGACATGGAGTAGGGAGAGCTGCTTGGCATGGGCTGCATAAAGCAATGAAGAACCAGAGGCAGCACCTCAGGAGAGGATGGGGTAGGGGGTTGATTCTCCTATGTGAGGAAAGGCAAATCATAGGAGGTTATGCTGATGCAGGGTTTTGGATCTGATTTTTTAGATTTTGATTTTTGAATTTCTGTAAGAGTCCAAATTCTTGCGATTGCTCCTGTCCCTGAGGCTCAAAACCTCAGCATTTTCCTCCATCACATTTCCTATCACAAATAGGACCCGTTGGTTCTGTCCTCTTTTCAAGATCTCTTACATTTGACTCTTCATTTCCATTCCCACTACTACCACCCTGGCTCAGGTGATCACCCGCTGCTTGGATTACTGCAATTGTCTCACCGGCTGCAGTCTTTCCTTTCTCTACCAGTGTCTCCCAAAGGGTATTGCTGCAATTTGGGCTGGGCTAGTTCTTTGTTTTCCAGAACTCTTGCACAGGGCAGGGTGTCTCACATCCATGACCTCCACCCTGCATGAACATCAGTAGTGTCTCCACAGTCATTGGGACAAACAAAAATGCCACACACAATTCCAAAGGCCCTGGGGAATGATAGTTCCCTGAGTCTACACACACCACCATATTGGTATTTCCAAAGTACAGCGTCCATACTCACTTCTCCCCATTTAAAAATCTTCAATGGATTTCCACGGACAGTGAGAGGAAGTCTAAAATCTTAAACTGTCTGTTAACTTCCCAGTTTTACTTCTCATTTCGGCTTTACTCAGATCTTGTGTTCAAGTCAGGTTGGACTCCATGCTAATTCTCAAATGCTCTCCGTACCTCTTTCCTGTAGGCCAGACCCTGCATTTAAATGGCCCTTTTCTTCATTTCTCTGACTCAACATCCCATGAGCCATCCCAGATGTAATTGGAATGTTAATTGCATCATGAAAACATTTCCAATTATGCCCTGTCCCCCAGAGAGAAGTGATCTTTCCTTATTCTGAACTCTTGTCTCCTTTGTACTCCATGCCGTGGTAACTGCAGAAGATGCTAGTCATGTCTGTTTCACCGCTGTGTTTCCCACCTCCCTTTCCTCAGGGCCTGCCATAAGGTAGCGCTCAATCAATACTTCTTGAAACAAACTGAATTGGAGGCATAATAAATCCTGCCATGCTGTTTTTGTTGGTAATGACTGACTTCTCACCTGCTATAAAATTTTCTGAAAAATGTCATGATAGGTTATAAATATTATAGTTCTGGAGCAGAGTTTTAACACCACATCCACTTACTGAAAGACACGTTTGTTCTTTCACTTTACATCATTAAATTCAGTTTTGTAGATAAGTTCATACATTTTTAACAATGCCTCACATGTTTGATCAGTTTTTCCTGCAAATTTAAAACAAGCTAAGAAGAAGAAATGAGCTACTGAGGCATGCGGGTTGGAGGTGAAGACATGAACACACATTTCTAATGTGTCCTAGAAGCATGTTTTTGAAATTAAGTGGTATTTCCTTTAATGTTTGCCAATATTACTGCAAAAATATAGTCCGTTCGTTTTGGTGCCTCCAGTGATTTCGTATGGGTGCCTGCCTTTATGACGTGGGCTATGCTTCTGTATTTCTCTATGGCACTCCCCTTGGTTTTCACCTGGTCTGGGTGGCTCCTGGTTTTGCACAGGCACATGACCTGGGCTTTTCATTTGGTCCTACCATGTGGTAGCTCTTGGTCCACTTCTGTCTTCCTGGCTTCTGAGAACTTGCCAGGGCTTTTGCTGAGTGGGTTGTGTTCATTCTGCTCTCATGGCTCTGACTGGGATGAGTTTCATGCTGCTCTACCTCAGTTTTCCGAAGATGATACGTTCCTTGTGTACAAAAGCCTGTCTACTTTCTCTTGTGGCCCTTTACCACCCCTCCAACACCAACAGAGATCCACAAATGTTGTATTGTGAATGATCTAAGCCACCCTCCCACTCCATCTAGGCACTGGCATGTTTCCTCTGTCAACAATTTGTGAAGCTGATGTGTGTGATGATTAGGGTTTGGACAGATTTTTTTTTCTGCCTCTGTATGAGGGCATATATCAACCTACACAAGAGAAATATGCAAACTATATGATGTAAAATTGAATAGATTTTAAAAATATCTTTGTGACAAATGTAAATGTTACCATTCTAGTAGGACTAATATGATCTTTCGATGTTAACATGAAAACGGGTTTATAAAAGCAGCAATCTATAGAAATCATAATTGATCTCCTGGGTTAATCAGCACTCTTTTGGCCAGAGAGAGGCACTTAATATATAGTACATGCTAAGTATAGTGATTTATAATTTCCAACTTGTGAATTGGAAAGGTACTGAAGATAGTGTTCATTTTTCAGTTAGCATTTTGGGTAGTTGGACAAAGACAACAGCCATTACAAGCTAGAGCATGATGGAATAAAATCCATTTATTGGGAAAATAATTTTGGCAATATAAGTATAATTAAATTAAATCTGATATTTTCTGTGATCTTTTAAAAGTCTAACAGTTCCATTTTAAAAGGAAAACCTCCAACTTGAATTATTTAGCTGTAAGTATTTTTGGAAATAATTTTTACAAAATAGCACCCAGTATTTGTTTATAAAGAAGTTGCCTGCTCGATGATCAGTGGTGTTGACAGAAACTGGAGACATGAGGACTAAATACTTATTTTTTTCCAAGCACAACTTGTGCTTTTAAAGAGACTTGGGGGATTTGAAAAGCAAAGAACACTTAATTTAACATTCGGTTAAAAATTTTTTTGACTGATTTCTTTAGTAATTACCTCAGATCAATATAACTAACACTTCGACTATGCTTACTATGAGACAGGCATAATTCTAAGTGATTTATGTCTTTTAACTTATTCAATCCTCAGAAAAGCCCTATGAGATAAGTACTATTTTTATTCCCACTTTATAGATGAGGAAACAGGCACGGAGAGGTTAAGTTGCTTGCCTGAAGTTACCAGATGCATGGCAAAATCGGCTTCAGACCAGGCCACTGAGCTTAGCGTTTGTGTCTTCAGATCCACCCTTGCATGCCTTAGTAGCTCAAATCATAGCTCCATAGGATGTTTTTCGGTTGAAGTTTGCTTGCTGAATGCTGATGTTACAAGACATATTGAGCAATTATTTAAAATGTATGGAACTTTGGTGGTGGGCATTTAACAAAAGTCTGAGTAAAGCTGGTAAAGGCAAACAAATATAACATAAACGCATACAGATTCCTGGATCTTACCCCAGACCTGCAGACTTACAATCAGAGGGCAAGGGGCTAAATAAAGATAGGGAATGGGGAGATGGTGCTGGGGGGAGGATATCTAGTGCAATGTATTTCTAAAGAACTCAGGGGATTCCTTTCTCTACCAGTGTCTCCCAGAAGGGTATTGCTGCAATTTGGGCTGGGCTAGTTCTTTGTTTTCCAGAACTCTTGCACATGGCGGGGTGTCTCACATCCATGACCTCCATCCTGCATGAACATCAGTAGTATCTCCACAGTCACTGGGACTGCACCATGGGAATACATCACTGGGAATGCATCATGCATAGCTATCACTGAGAGTCAGTGATAGAAGGTCTACATCTTTTTCAAAGCCCAGATTGGCTCCTTCTTCTTCTTTGTTTTTGTTTGTTTGAGACAGAGTCACACTCTGTTGCCCAGGCTGGAGTGCAATGGCAATCTCAGGTCACTGCAATCTCCACCTCCTGGTTTCAAGAAATTCTCCCGCCTCAGCCTGCCAAGTAGCTGGGATTACAGGTGCCCACCATGATACCCGGCTAATTTTTGTAGAGACGGGGTTTGACCATGTTGGCCAGGCTGGTCTTGAACTCCTGACCTCAGGTGATCTGCCCAGATCAGCCTCTTAAAGTGCTGGGATTGCAGGCATGAGCCCCTGCGCCCAGCCCTGATTGGCTTCTTAAAAAGAGAAGAGTTGGCAGATGTGTCTGAATTTGTTGGGGGATGTATGTGGCAGCACAGAGCATCCAAGATAAATGTACAGCCTTTGGTTATGGTTCATCGTATTTTTTTTTTTGAGATGAAGTCTAACTTTGTCGCCTAGGCTGGAGTGCAGTGGCGTGATCTTGGCTCACTGCAACCTCCACCTACCAGGTTCAAGTGATTCTCCTGCCTCAGCCTCCTGAGTAGCTGGGATTACAGGCACCTGCCACCATGCCAAGCTAATTTTTGTGTGTTTAGTAGAGATGGGGTTTCACCATGTTGGTCAGGCTGGTCTCGAACTCCTGATCTCAAGTGATCTGCCCATCTTGGCCTCCCAAACTGCTGGGATTACAGGTGTGAGCCACCGTGCCCAGCCAATTCATCATTTTTAATGGTAGGATTTTTCCTCTATTCCAGTTTTTTCTGGTTCTTTTATTATAAATTGGAACTCTTGTTGTCATGGGGTTTATAAATATTAGCAACTGGGAAGAATGGCCTTTACCTGCCACCTTCTTTGCCCATATCTGAGAATACGGTTATCACCATGGCTGTTGAAGCCTAAGAGTTTTAGCATTTATTTAGCACACTTGTGGTTACCAGTGCCATGGGTAACCCATTTACACCTGAGGTTGCAATTTTTTGAATTTTTACAATCAGAGCTTGGCGATGACCTTGAGCAGTAGGATATAAATAACTCCCACATGTGTAATTACTCCCTGAGGAATGTGTTTAGTCTGTGTTTTCAGAGATAACTGTTTATATCTTGATTATTTATGTTCATCTTAGCTTAGTAGATGAAACTCCAGAACTTAGAGAAAGAGTATGCATGTTCTTAGAAGACAAAGAAATCACAAGAATGGGTATCAGAAAATCTTGCCCTAACACTTTGTTTGTAACTGTTTGGTCACTCTTGGGAAAATAAACATTATTGTTTTTCACAGTAAGGTGATTTCTGTAAAATCACCTGCATTTAGAATGGCCAAGGATGTATAAGATAGAAGTGAAATAAAAATGAGGAACCACATGCTGTCCATTTGTGCAGTAACAGGGGAGTAAATGCTCACAATTTTACTGATTCTTCCCTCTGTGCTACGTATGCTGGGCTCTTATGGGTACACAAGTTCAGCAGAGCAGGCTGTGTATGTGGGTCTCTGAGCTGTTCATTCATATATATTACCAAGGGTCTGCCACTGATTGGAAAGCACTTATAAGCTATAATAAGAACTTAGAAAAGACAGAGAAAATAAGAGTCCAGCAGAGAAAATCTTTGTTATTCACTGGAAAGATAATTAATCCTCCCCCAAATAAATCAAAGATTATACAGTCTCTTATTTTAATTTAGCCCTTTGGTTTGTGGAAGAGAAAAAAATGTACAATAATCATCTTTATTTTGGATAAGATAGCATAACGGTTCATTTATTTAGAAATGAATACTTGAGAATGTGCCAAGAACTGAGCTTTCCCCTTCTGATATTAACTTTTCCCCACCAATTACTGTTAATTGTTCTGTGAATTAAAGTCACATGAGCCCAGTGATATTTATGATGTCAATCATGATGCACTTGAGAAATTATTTCAAAATGCCAACAGAGCAGATATGATGAAGAAAATCTATCTGGAACTTTGAAGTTGCAAAGATGGGGTAGAACCCAATTTTTATATTTATAGATGGAAAGAGGAATCTATCACAGGGGCTAGTTCTCATCTAGACTCACATTCTCCCAGCATCCACCCTCATGGGGCACTGCCTCTGGCTTGCAAACTGGTCATGAGGTTAAGGACCAATGCATCATCCCAAAGTCATATACCAGACACAGGTTATTTATACAAAGTTGCTGAAAAATGTTTAAGAGCATTTAGTTTAAATCACTTGTAAGTCATATGAAATGACTACCATGAAATTATTGCTAATACTAATTGCTAGATTGTTGTAAATTGGCAAATAGTTCTTAATCCTTTAGAGAAATTCAAAATTCAGAAGGTTTATGGATCTTGACACTTTGTTAAACTTAAATATGAATAAATAGCATGAGTCAGAAGAATCTTATCAGAAGCATTTATAAATAGTCAACATTAATATGGAGTTGTCATTTTACAGAAAAATTAACTTGAAGGACTCCTTTGAGTTTTGTGTATACCTTCCAGGAAATGTGATTATTTATCCAATAATGTCAGTGTTCAGCTTAGTTGAACATGCGTTAGAAATAAAATGAGCTAGTCGGGCGCAGTGGCTCATGCCTGTAATCCCAGCACGTTGGGAGACTGAGGTGGGCAGATCAGCTGCGATAAGGAATTCAAGACCAGCCTGGCCAACATGGCAAAACCCCATCTCTACTAAAAATACAAAAATTAATGGGGAGTGGTGGCATGTGCCTGTACTCCCAGCTACTCAGGAGGCTGAGGCAGGAGACTTGCTTGAACCTGGGAGATGGAGGTTGCAGTGAGCCAAGATTGCACCACTGCACTCCAGCCTGGGCAAAAGAGCGAGACTCTGTCTCAAACAAATAAACAAACAAAAAATTAAGAAATAATATGAGCTTTTGTCAGATTGTCAGATTGCATAAAATTGTATGAAGTTCTCAGGGAAAATAGTTGAAAAGTTCATGTGTTTCTTTTTCTCAATAGATCAAAAAAGTTTAGTGTTTCAAATTAAAATTTGAAAGCTTAGAGTTTCAAATGAAAAATTGAAGTGGGTTCACAAAATAAAATTACTTTTGGTGTATCTTCGTTATAAATTCTACTTTCGGAAGTCTGTTTAATCTTTTAAGATATGTTTAGAACAAAAATGAGTAGAAGAAAAAAAGTTTTACTTCAGAAACTTTACAAATTTTTACCATCTGTGTCTTTTTGAAGCTGCAGTAGTAATTTAAAGGCAAGCATATCTATTCTGTGTTTCTTTTTTCACTCTGTTGAGGTTTAAGATCATTTGCCAGATGTTGCTTTGAAATGTTCTGTAGACCTGAAAATGTATTCTGTGTTCTAGGCACTGTGCAGAATTCCAAATTAATATATAGCAATCCCTCAAGAACACATAATCTAAGTGAGGGCTTAAAACATGGGCACAAATAACCATAATACAAGTTAGGATGTGATTTAGATGTTGAAAGCGACTAATTGCCATTTCATATACATGTATCAGCTGTCATTTCTAAACATCTGTAATCACAGTAAAGAGCATTCGAATCATTCAATGCAAGATGAACACAGGATGCTGTAGGCACTATGTATGATGGCCTGTGCCTTCAGCTGAAGGGAAAAAACCTAGGTAGGATGTTATTTTATTTACATAGTAACTAAGCATTTGAATTTTGGCAAAACATCCAGTTGACAATGTTTGTGTTTTTACAGGGCAGTAGAGGAGAATTAGGACCAGTGGGATCCCCAGGCCTACCAGGTAAACTGGTAAGTAAAAAAGTTTCCTTTATTTGCCTTCTACGAAACACAATACATTTTTAAAAATAAGCAAAAGGAGAAAACAATTTACAATTGAATTACCTGTACTTGCTTTCTCTTGTTATATGAATATGTGGACAATGTAAAGCGGAAATTTCAAATTACAGGTAGGATACCCTCAGAGGGTGTTTTAATCCGTGTGGTTTGTAGCATCCATTTTTAAACCTGGAGAGATGTGAAGTGCTACATTTGGCCTCTCGTTGTTCTTGGAATGGCAGAAAACAGAGTGAATGGTGCCTTTTACTTCTTGTGCAGTGCTTGTTTACACAGCGAGAGGAGCAGCTGCGCCATTGCAGGCAGTGGGGGTGGCGGGGGCTTGACTGAAAGAGTCCACTGTTGCCAAGGAGTGCAAGGGGAACTGAGGACCTCAGGGTGGATTGAAGGCTGGGAGAGCATTGGCCCCTCCCTCTTCTCCTGAGAATATGAAAGAGAGGCAAACCCAAGAAGCAGAGTTCAACCCACTGCAGCACGTTTATTTTAGACACAAGTCAACACACCCAAGGTTGTTTCTGCCTTCCGTGCTTTCAGTGTTGCAGTGACAGTAACACCGGGGACTTTGTGTTTGTTTTCCAGGGTTCTCTGGGTAGCCCCGGCCTCCCTGGCTTGCCCGGGCCCCCTGGACTTCCTGGAATGAAAGGTGACAGGGTAAGAGCTCCAGCACTCCAGAAAGTTCTTTATTTGGAAGAGTGATTTCTACCATGTTGAGAAACAAAGCTTGCTTTTGGCCCCGTGGAGAATTTTCTAGAATTTATCATAAAGAGCTATCAAGAAAGGTATTTTAAATTACTCAGAGTTGAGATTAAGAAGCAAAAAGTCTATTAATATAATTTAACAGAAGGAAAAAAAAAGCTGAGAAAAGTAAAAATTTCCGTTGTACACACTTTCTATTTAGCCCTCGATTTACATTTCTACTAGTCAAATTTTATAAGGATGTGATCAGAGAATGCCCCAAGTTCCAGAGACTCTTGGAAAATTGTGACCTAAGGTGGAAACTTATGTTTTGGTCCTGATTCTTGTTGGGTGATGAGGAGTGGGAACGTCCTCTCCCATCACATTATCCGTACTTGTGCTTATCCGCCCACCCAATAAGGTTCACTTGAAATTATATAAACAGTTGAAAATACTGAAAAAGTATTATATTTTATTTATTACAGGGTGTAGTCGGTGAACCAGGTCCAAAGGGTGAACAGGTCAGTCCTATTATTTAATTGGTATAAAATGCAATGTTTGATATGCACCATTTCACAAGCAAGGCGGAATGGCTGGTTTATGGGTGTTAATAAAACCATGGAGGCTAACAGTTTTTCTCAATGTGTTCATAGTGAGTGAAACCTGGTGTTGAGTTTGGTCCGCGGCAATTGTTTACTATTTTAACAAGCTGGAGCTAATTAGGGCTCTGCCTCCAGGACTGCACACTGTCTTTCCTTTGAGGAGGGTGGCTCTGTCTCTGGCTCACGGAACTGGTTTATTCATGTCTGATGGAGCCTTCCACAGCCACATTAGAATGTTTTAGGTTTTTCTTGATCAAGACCTCAGCAAATAAACTGTTTGTATGAATTAGACTCAGTCCTTTCTCTGGGTTCTTCTTCTACTGTGAAAGCCCTATTTCAAGGGCTAATGATAAAATTGTTGAATATGGTCATTTATCCTTCATTCTAGCTGAAACTCAGCCTCACCTTCTGGCTTTCCCCAGGCTATTTTCTGATTGGGACTAGCCACTGACAGCTAGATTGGAAAGCCGCTGAGAGCATTTTGTATTTCTGCATGATTCTGGGAACACTGTGGGCACTTATGAATGCTTATCAATGTTGACTGGTTAAAATTGGGCAATGGGACTAAGAATTTTAAAATGTAACCTTTTATCTTAATTTTTAGGGTGCCTCTGGTGAAGAAGGTGAAACAGGAGAAAGAGGGGAACTTGTAAGATTTTTTTTTTCTGGTTAATGATGAAGCCTTACTAATTTTGAACTGTGTTAGAAGTGTGTGTGTATATATATATAAATTCTTATTTTCTGGACACTGTTACCCTCACTGCCTTCTTTAAAGGTTATGATGTTTCTCCTATCAGTTAACAAAAGTCTCCCAAGACTGCAGCCAAGATCAAGTAAAGCAGAGAGGAAACACTGCCAAATTGATAGATCTGGCTTTAAACTTTTGGAGAATAAAAGTGTTCCCTTACAGATGGTGAATCCTCTGTGGCTTTATGTCTAGACATTCAAGGTGATTCTTACATGACTATAGAAAGTCTATGAATAATAGTGCTCTATCATGAAAACAATATTCAAGTTTTATTATGGTTAGAAAGCTGTGACTCACAAATCTGACCAAAGGTAATCTCTTTAGTCTAAAACCCTCCGAAGAAGTGACCTCCATCTCCAGAGGAGGCTGCTGCCTAATCTCCAGGAAAGGAATACAAATGAGAACAAGTTCTCTCCACTGCTGGAGCTGCTTGGTTTGCAGGCTCATCATTATGGTTTTGACACAGACTAATGTGACTTAATGTGGAAGCTTATGTTTTGGTCTTTTGGGGTAGTGTAATAGATTTTACAGAAAACAGTTTCAGAGAGCTTGTAGGGCAGGAAAAAAAATTCTAGTAATGTTGTTTTATTCTTATTTTCAGGATTTAGAGCTAATATAAATGTAACATCTAAATTAGTCAAAGCTTCCCAACTATTAAGTAAATTTATAAGAGGATTATTCCAGTTTCATCTTCTGTTAAAATTGTTCATTTTATAGGGTCACGTGATGTTTTAAATCATTGTTTTGTAGTGGAGGTAAGCTGATATGCCAACACGAGCTGAATTTATCTCTAGCATTAGTGGTAGGAAATTTTCAAGGTTTTTTTTTTAAAGCATAAAATCATGCATATTTGGTTTAGTAGACTTTTGGGGATGACTTTTAAATATTGTTTGAATTACAAAAATGAAGTCGTCAGGTCCAAATGTCTGTTGTGTTTTATAAGAGAATGCTATTTTGATATCTTTTGCCTTCCATATTTTTAATTCTCGACACCTAGCATTTGAGATCTGGATGAAACCCTGGAAAGCTCTGATTCAACCCTTTTATTTAACAGATAAATTAGCCAAAGGCTGGGAGGTTACATAGCTTACATAGCTTACAGAGAGTCACAGAGTTAAGCAGTAGAGCTGAGATCAGAATCCAAAATTGGAGTCTAATTTTTTTTTGCAGTGCCAGAGTTAATCTGTTCATGGTTTTCTATATTTTAGTAGCACAGTAACTTTTAATTTTTTTCAGGAAATTATCAAATGCGAACACGTTGTTCTAACATAAATTTCTTTTATTGATTTAGGGAGATATAGGATTACCTGGCCCAAAGGGATCTGTAAGTATGGTGAACAGTAATGGTATAAAAAATTAAAACTATTAATAAAGCTGTAGAATATATAATGCTCAGCTTTATGAAATCATTACATAACATTCAATTCTTTTTTTTTTTTTTTTTTTTTGAGACAGCGTCTCGCTGTGTCGCCCAGGCTGGAGTGCAATGGTGTGATCTAGGCTCACTGCAACCTCCACCTCCCAGGTTCAAGCGATTCTCCTGCCTTAGCCTCCCAAGTAGCTGGGATTACAGGCATGCACCACCATGCCTGGCTAATTTTTGTATTTTTAGTAGAGATGGGGTTTCACCATGTTGGTCAGACAGGTCTTGAATTCCTTACCTCAGGTGATCCACCCACCTCAACCTCCCAAAGTGCTAGGATTACAGGTGTGAGCCACCGCATCCAGCCAACATTCAACTCTTAAAGGACTTACTTTCATGGAAATAAATGTCTAAATTTGTACCTTACGTAATGGATTAATCCAATAGAAAAATGCCTCACAACTGTGTAAATGGATTTACCTTTTGAACTAACTACTCGAAAGGAAGTGTTTTTTTTTTCCATATTGTAAATGACTCAATAAGTGTTACATGGTAATACTCTAATGTCCTCTCCAAATGGTTCATTTTTAAAGAACTGACTTGTGCTTTTTGGTGTCAACAGTATAACTAAATTTCATTGGCAGTTATACCATTGAAAAATATTTCAGTAATTGTCTTAATCTCTGATGTGTTCTAGATGGGGAAGTAAGATAGAGGAATAATGCATAAGAAAATATAATAGAGAATTATTAGAAGCAGAAAATGATCTTGTTCATTTTTGTCATTTTATAGAAACTAAACTGGTGTCCTTAGAGATTAGATGTATTCAGAATTATAGAATCACTTAGTAGGAAACCTGAGATGACTTACTAATTGGAAATGAATTCACATCTAAAACCATTAGGAATTTAAGAAAGTATGAGGAGAAAAGATGAAGCTCAGATCTCAATCTCAAATGCCACTACCGCCAGCTTCCATCAGTTTCCAAGTCCTTCCTGTTTCTGGAATCTCCTCAACCCTTCTCTGTCCCTGTCCAACATATTATCCTCATGGCAGCCAATGTCATCTAGATTTTTAAAAAAGATAAAACCTCATCTCCTACATACCTAGAACTTCATCCATTTACAGTTCTTTTTACATGCTGTTTAACACCTTGTTCTGGTCTCCTCTTCCTCTTAGCTACCTCCTACTTAAGCATTTAGATCTATCCTCAGCTTCACTTTCTCCAGGAGGACCCAATCAGACTTGGCCACAATGCCTAGCCTTGGGCTGTTTGCAAACCGCAGAGATGAATATTATTACTTTGTATTAACTTACCTGCCTCTAAAAACCATGTCTCAAGTTTCAAGTAACATTTCTATGCCTAAGAATTTTTAATAGAAATGGTCGAAGGTTGAGAAAAATTTAGAGTAAACCTTGATTGAGTTTGGTAATAGAAATCCTACTTCACTATCTAGAAATAGTAATGTTCAATAGAAAGAATTCAAGCTGTAACAAAAGAAAAGTTAATGAACCGTGCAGTGACAAGAATAAATTAATTGCATTCAAATTTGCATATAATATTAGGAATTAGCCCTTGATTCATCTCCTTCCCCACCTGTGTCTTACCTGACACTGCCCAGGTAATATGAGTGAAATTGAAGTCTACTGTCCCAGAATCCGGGGAAATTGTTACTAACACAAAGACTTTCACTTTCTTCATTGATTTCAGCATAAACAAAGTTGTGAAGTAGGCGATGTCTGTAACCTGATTTCTGGTTCAGTATACCGTAACTCCTCAGTTGAGGAATTCTTTCCCAAAGACCCAGGGTCCTGGCCATATTGGCCCTTAATCTCTTCATTAGGAAGTTCCCATCTTTTATTGTAGCAGTATTTCAGTCACTACCAGCAGGATTATACACTCCATCATGGTCTCCTTTGTTTTCTGTCAGTTCTTCAGTATATTTCTGAGTTCATTTTGTCGTCTCTTCCGGGTTCTTTTAGAAGTTGTTGGCCACGCACGGTGGCTGATGCCTGTAATCCCAGCACTTTGGGAGGCCGAGATGGGTGGATCATCCAAGGTCAGGAGTTTGAGACCAGCCTGGCCAACACGGAGAAACCTCATCTCTACTAAAAATACAAAAAATTAGCCAGGTGTGGTGGCACACACCTGTAATCCTAGCTACTTGGGAGGCTGAGGCAGGAGAATTGCTTGAACCTGGGAGGTGGAGGTTGCAGTGAGCCAAGATCCCGCTATTGCACTCCAGCCTGGGCGACAAGAGCAAAACTCCATCTCAAAAAAAAAAGAAAAAAAAAAGAAGTTGTTACAGTTTTGCACCCTAGGCACCTGACAATGTTGCAGCCTTCTATATAGGATACCTTTTCCTTGTCCTGCTGACAGTCTTTCAGGAAGTCTTTTAAACCATAATTTCTTCATAGAAACTATTTTGGGAAGTTGACTTAGATGAATATCAATTTCTTTTGCATAAAGAGAAATTGGAAAAGCACATTTGCTGAGCTTTATTTGGATGTGTCTAGTAAAAGCATTGCTTCATCACCTTCTTCAGTTTAAAGTATTTGTTTGAAAGAGCCAGGTTTTCTAGATAAACGATGCATATGAAAAAGAAGCAGGATTAAATTGCTTTACAAACATTCATATCTTGAACACTAGCATTCCCTTGCTGCCTCGTGTTCTTTTATCTTCTCATTCTTATTCTGAACAGCAGCAGTACATTAGAGCTATTCTGCCACAAATTCTACCAAAAGAATTTAACAAATTTTTAGTTTAACAAAAAGTGAATTAATTTGGTCTCTTTTAAAACATTTATCTTAGATGATTCTTTTGAATGCTTTTAGTGGTCTGCTTTCAGCTGAAAAAAAAAATCTAACTTGTATTTGCTTTTATGCTAAGGAAACACATGGTTTACTTTTAACTTCTTTAATATTTAGATTTTTTTTAACTTCCTTGATACTTAGATAAGTTGTAACTTTCTTTGGTCCATTTTTTTTTTTTTTTTTTGAGATGGAGTTTTGCTCTGTCACCCAGGCTGGAGTGCAGTGGCATGATCTGGGCTCACTGCAAACTCCGCCTCCCAGGTTCACATCATTCTCCTGCCTCAGCCTCCCGAGTAGCTGGGACTACAGGCACCCACCACTACGCCCTGCTAATTTTTTGTATTTTTAGTAGAGACGGGGTTTCACCATGTTAGCCAGGATGGTCTGGATATCCTGACCTCGTGATCTGCCCGCCTCGGCCTCCCAAAGTGCTGGGATTACAGGCATGAGCCACCGCGCTTGGCCTGGTCAAGTATTTTAAATGCAGCATTTTAAATGCGGTATTTTAAATGCATTGATTTAGTTTAGTAATTCCTGGATATACATGGCATCTTCACATTCTCTAAAAAAAAAGTTATAAGGGCTAAACAACTTATGTTCTTGGAAATATCTTTATTTTATGCTTGCTGCATTATTGATATGCAAAGTAACGTATTTTGTAGGAATGCAGGGGCTTTTGTGTAGCCAGAAAATGTTAACAAGCTTATTGAAAACTAAGTTACTCTTAGAGAGTGACTTAAAGTATGAAGTGACTTAAAGTATGTAGTTTTTTTAAAAAGTAGTATTCCAATAAACATTTTGCAAGAATAACTATCCCCAAAAGAAAGATGATGATGATGATGATGATTATTATTATTATTATTTTGAGACAGAGTCTCACTAGGTCGCCGGGGCTGGAGTGCAGTGGCGCAATCTCTGCTCCCTGCAACCTCCATCTCCTGGGTTGAAGCGATTCTCCTGCCTCAGCTTCCCAAGTAGGTGGGACAACAGTTGTGCACCACCATGCCCGGCTAATTTTTGTATTTTTAGTAGAGATGGGGTTTCACCATATTGGCTTGCCTGGTTTCAAACTCCTGACCTTGTGATCCGCCCGCGTCGGCCTCCCACAAGTGCTGGGATTATAAGTGTAAGCCACCGCACCCAGCCAAAAGAAAGATATTTTGAAAGTTAACTTGAACTAGATTTCTAAAGATGTGTAAGTTGTGTGGCATTATGTGTCTTCACCTTGCGGTGAAGGTTTTGTAACCTCTGAAAGTACACCTGTTAGGATGCAGAATGCAGGAAGCCCCAAATTTCATGTAAGTGTTTGTATGAGTATGAAGCAGGCACATTCTTTATGCTTAGCCCTCATTTGATAGTGTGCAATTGTGTTCCAGGCAGGTAATCCTGGGGAGCCTGGCTTGAGAGGGCCTGAGGGAAGTCGGGGGCTTCCTGGAGTGGAAGGACCAAGAGGACCACCTGGACCCCGGGGCGTGCAGGGAGAACAGGGTGCCACCGGCCTGCCTGGTGTCCAGGGCCCTCCGGTGAGTGGTGGGCAGCTTCTGTGGTTTCCCTTTGGAGGCTCCATCCCACTGCAGCAGGGCTGTTCTAGGCATCAGCTTCTCAGCAAGTTCTCTTGTAAATCCAGCCACCTGGCTCCTTGCAGAGTCTGTCAGTTTACAGCTTAACAATGTTCTCTTTATGATTTCGTGCATAATCTGCCTTTTTTTCTTTTCTGTCGCAGGGTAGAGCACCGACAGATCAGCACATTAAGCAGGTTTGCATGAGAGTCATACAAGGTAAATAAATCACAATGGTTTGACTTTTTCCACCATCAACTCTTGTTTCTTAAGATTTTATTCTTGTAGATATGCAAGGGTAAACAAGGGTGACTTTTGGTATGCCTTAAATACAGGATATTTAGGGTAATATTAATGCCAATTCTGTTTTATCCAACTATTGGCATCCACAATAGTATATAGTCCATAGCCTCAATGTAAAATATTACCTTTCTGGTTATCCTGACTTTTTTTTTTTTTTTTGCCATGGGGGTTAATTTATAACAAAGTGCACACACACACATGCGCACACACACACACACACACACACACACGCTTTTTTCCTTTGGAACACAAATTCTTAGTTGTCTCTCCCCTCCTTAAGACCCTACCACTTAGTGTGTACCTAGCACTGACCTAGGCTTTCTCTACATTTTGTGAGAAGTACATGACAGACTCCATGCCCATAAGAAGCATAAGGACATTATCTCCATTCATGTACACATATGTAAAAAAAAAAATCAATAACCAGCATTTACCAAAATTATGACACATTTTCATACTTGTTAACCCTTGTCAAAATGTATCTGTAGCTATGGCAATTGTTATTTGTTTCAGAATTGGTCTAGTTACAAAAACACACAGAAAATGAAGATGTGCAAAAGCACCCTATCGCTGAGGAGTTCTGTCACATTGAAGCCTACAGTTCGTGATAGTACTCTGGTGTAGCTAACTTTGTCATGAAGAGATACTCTTTTGTATGCTCACTAGACAGTCTAGTTTGTCTGGGAGACTTGAGAAGTTTTCCAGAACCAAATGGGAACGAAACGTTCACTTCTATATTTGAAAAGCAATATAGGTCTCTTCATTGCAGACATTTTGTCCTGAACGTCTATTTTAGTTTTAAACATGACATATCTAAAAAATTATGATTCGATGCAAACTCTTCTTATACAAGCAAATTTAGAATACTCACATTTAAACAATTTAAAAATGTTGGGTAGAAATTTGTTTCCATTTCATTTTCTCCTTTACCCTCTAAGTTTAAAAAACATTACATGAGAATATTTCCCTTAGAATGTTTTCATGGGGAGATTTTCTTGTAGGCCATGGCTTTCGTGGGTGATTCAGAATCTATTTAATGGTTCCTGGAAAAGCCCACACAGTTATTAATTTTTAAGACTAACTCTGACCATTCCCAAGAAACAAGTTATTTTTAATGTTTGCTGTCTATTTCAAGCATGGAAAAAACTTCTGAGAAGGAGGATTTATAAGAAGCTGTGACTCCTGGGGATATTTCAGTTTATATAATATCTTCAAACTAAGAACATGAGGCGAGGTCTCAAATGGTGTCTGAATATTAGTTCTGGACGATGTCTTTGGCTTTTAAAAACTGTCTGGATATCTGCTTCCACCTATGTTAAGAAACTCATTTGTCTTCCCATCCTGGGTTTTCAGATACCCAGCTGGTATTCAGACGACATCCTTCCAGAACACCATTCACCCCAAAGCCTTAGTTGAAGATTTTTGTAAATCCCAGTCCCTGCTACCTCCATTCCTGCGCCCTGACTCTGTCTCAGAACAACAGGACCAAATATATCCAGGGAGAGCTGCATCAAACAGCACCAGCGAAGCTTCCTGGCAGAAAGCCCACAGAGAAATTATCCAACTTTATTCATGTCTTACCACCAGTTTTGAAGATCTGGTGACACATTTAGAAAAAAGGCATCTGGAATACTTCTCTTTTCATTAGAATAACTTTTATGTTTCTGACACTTCTGGGTTGTTTTGTTTATTCTCTTTCAGAGCATTTTGCTGAGATGGCTGCTAGTCTTAAGCGTCCAGACTCGGGTGCCTCTGGGCTCCCTGGAAGGCCTGGTCCTCCTGGTCCCCCTGGCCCTCCTGGAGAGAATGGGTTCCCAGGCCAGATGGGAATGCGTGGCCTTCCGGGCGTTAAAGGGCCCTCTGGTGCCCTTGGTTTGAGGGGACCTAAAGGTAAGTCATCTTGCCCACGTGGAACCAAAGAATACAACCTTTTTCAGATGTATAATCTGTATCAAGCTCAAGGAATTTATGTTTTACCAATTTCTGAATATCCAGTGAGATAAGATGTATTATTCTCTTTTACAACAGTGATGGTGAAGATTCAAAAACTGTTATATAATATTCTCTTGTCCCTGCTATACCACAACAGTAGACCAAATACTAGAATTAAAGTCCTGTGTCTTTTAGTACTGATCTTTTTCGATTGCACTCTACCTCAATCATGGTTCAAAACAAAGATTATGGGATCTGGTAAACGATCATTCAGCTTTTTTTTTTTTTTTTTTTAAGACCCTGAAGTCGTTGTTGAGCTCCTCTAACATGGCAACCATCCTTAGGATGTTTGTATTTGTTATTTAAACTAACAAAATGTGTTAATAGGACATAAGAAAAACATGAATTGGAGCTTCCTCTTTTAAAATATCACATTGGATATTTAGTTTTGATGGGATTTTTTTCAGCTCTGAAATACAATCTAATGTAATTTCTTCTTTAGTACGTAAGATAGTTTGTTCCTTCCATTTTTATTCAAAGCAAGTTAAGCCCTTGCATCCAGTATTTTGCAGAAGAACGGGGCTATGAGTATGTTAGGTACTCAGCAGGACTGGTGGAAGAACTGGCTGCCTCATTTGGAGTCTCCTAGTTGAGGGGAGTAAGTACATCAGCTTGGAGTGTATATGCCCTAGATAATTTACAGAGAGGACTAAATAAAGTGAGTAGTTTCTATGTCATGATGAGTGACTGACATCTTTCTGGGGAACTTCAGAAAGACATGGCATCAGAAACAAGAGAGGGATTTTTGTTTTCTTTTTTAAAGTACTGCGGTGCTCCAATTAGGGATAAATATTATGGTATGAATGGTCAGAGGGCAAGCAAGCTGCCTTTTTGGATCTATAAATGAATTGCTGATGCAGTTGGCTAACTAGACCTTCAGCTGGAACAATTTATTTAATTACATTTTTTTTTGGTGTGTTCAGAGCTTCATGTTAAAAAAAATGGGGTCTAACTGAGACCTCTTATAAGGCTGGCATGATTTCAAAGCTTTGGGAGGCTAGACAAAATCAAATAGAGTGCAGACTGAGGGTAGAGTTTTTCTTAAAGAGAACTGAGCACTTTCTTTGAAAGCGTCACGTACCTATTCATGTTTGTCCTGCTTTACTAGTTCAGGAGCTCATGCCTTAGGTGCGCCCTCTATGGTTAGTCTCAATTCACTCTGTAAATAATTTCTAAGAAACGCTACAGCCTTAGGTAGATTGTTGACTTCGTTGGATCTGTTGTGCTGAAGTGGCTGGAACATGATGACTCAGCCTTTCCTGAGTTCACTTTAGGGTAGTGGTTCTGAAAGAGCTGTCCCGGGAGCAGTGGTGTCACCAGGGACCTTGTTAGGAATGCAGATTCTCTGGTCCATGCTGGGTCCACTGAATCAGAAACTCTGGGCTTGAGGTCTAGCTGTCTAGTTTAACAGGCCCTCTTGGGGGTTCTGCGGCACCTGGTGTGGAGCAATTGCCCATTTTCCTACTGAAAGGGAATGCCTTATAGGGCCTACAGACATCACAGCCCTATTTTCTTTGGTTAACAGGAAGTCTCCTTGGGGCAGAGCTTAACTGTGTTTGAGCCAGTCACAGAACTCTTCTTTAAAAAATGAAAATGCCAATGTCACTAGCTAAGCTAGGACAGTCTAAAGCTGCCTTTGTCAGCCTTGTCTGCACACTGGAATTGCCTGAGGAGCTTAAAACCACTGATGTCTGGATCCCGTTCCCAGAGATTCTGATTTTGTTGGCCTGGGCTTTGGGATTTGAAAATATTCTCCAGGTGATTTGACTGTGCAGCCAGGGTTGAGAACTACTGAAAACAATGGTGAATTGTTTGGGGAAGATTTAGCAACAGTGACTTCTGGCTAGGTTGGGTTGGGTTGGCTCTAGCAGATGAACCTCAGTTTGAAAGAAAGAAAACTAAATTTCTATATTTGGAACCTGGAAAATGTCTCTAGCACTAAGTTCATTCGTCAAGCATAGCTTGATCATATGAGGTATTTCCGCTTAATTTTTCTTCAGTATTCATGGCATAATCTATAACATGAAGTGATATAATTCTTTTCTCTTTTCCAAAGGATTTTTTTTCTCCCTACCCTCCTCCATCCCTTTCTCGTTATCAGATTCCTTTAAAGCAGTGTCTTCTCTCAGTTTAACTTTGGAGAATTTGGGGTGGAGGTAGGGAGGGGTAATTAAATTTTTAAAATCAATTAACGCTGTCATACTTTTGGAAATGTATGATTTTAGGCAGCTGGATTCGATTCTTCTTGTCCCACTACATACATTAATAGTAGTATTTATTAGAAAACATATAGCTTTGTAATATCCAAAGGGTTACAGCTGAAATTTCCCTGAGAATAAACATTCCACCATTTTGAAACCTAAATTTTCAGTCAGTTAGAGGAGAGATGTATTTCAGTATTGCTTGTTGGCTTTTTTCCCCATCCCTGGTAAAGAAGGGATGGTATGAATCTTGCTCTACCATCTAGCCACTTTGAGAGCCTTTTTCCAGAGAAACTGCTACATAAATAACAAACAAGTTTTATTATGAATGCTTGAACAGTTCAGCCTATGTCTTAGTCACTGTTTTTCTCCTAGAAAATACTCTGAAGAACACAGTAGAACATTTTCAATAGGAGCTAGTAGAAATATGCCTCAAACCATAGTCAAAGCTTAGGTTATGTCTATAATTTTTCTGTTTTTCACTGACATGCTTTATACAATACTATACAAAAATGTTAGGGCCCAGGCTCAAAACCTGAGAGATATCTAACTGGCCTTATGTTCACTTTGCTTGGTATTACATTGGTCTTTTGTGTCATAAATATTAGTTTAAAATATTCACAGTTTTGGTTAATTTTAAGTCCCTTTGAGTAAGGCTGTATATTTTTAGATATTTTAGCGTGAATCAAACAGACACTACAATATGTAAATGAAGGTCTGAGAAAACACACGTGTCATGATTATGACTAACACCTTTCTCAGTGATAATCTGTTTACATGGAGATAGAGCATCAGTGATAGCTCGTGAATAAATGAAATAAATAGCAACTATAGAGCAATGAGAATTTCTACTCATTTATAATGAGCTGTTTTTCTGCTCAAGCTGTGTATTTTTCTCTGTACATTATCTAAAGCTTATTTTACAAGCTCTTTATGCATATTTTTTGACTGAGGAGGATAACACAGCTGGACCTTTAGTTCGCTGAGCTGGTTTTTGTACGTCTCAAAAGAAGACATGACCAGGGTTTGAAGTAGTAGATTAACCTTGTCGATGAAACCAACCTGTATGCCGGGTTTGCTGTGGCGTGGCAGTTTGCCAAATGGGCTCTGTTTTGGATCTCATCTGAAAACTTGTTTTTCTCTGACTGATAACCAAAGACATAATCACAAGAAAGACACTGGTCTTATTCCTTGAAGCAACATTAAAAGTTGGTGTGGCTTCATGCTAAAATGTACAAACAAGTTTAGCTTTTACTATCAGTGTAAAAGCCACACTTTAATTTATAATGTTCATCTCATATCTTCAGAAAATGTGGCACATTTAGAGAGTCTGTTCTCATTTCCAGCCTCCAGAATTATAGTGATACGACACTCGAATTACCAAGTTAACAAGAATGCTTATGCCATTAGTTTATAAGATGTTAATTGTCATATCTTCCTAATATTCCATATTGATGATGAGTGTTAAAAAAAACTAGCTTATATAAATATGAGTTCAACCTGAGTTCAATCCTTCATAGTATTTATATAAATTTAAATTGTTTTGAAATGTGGTGAAATGTAGTTGATCATAAAAACATTCACGTAAAGACATTCACAGCTAAAATCAAAGTATGGTGACTAAATATTCACTTCAGAATTAGAGATCTTTGACTATCTGAGTGCAGACGGTTATACAGATATTTTTTCTATTTTTGTTGTGTACATGACTTTGTTTTTAAAATTAGAACAAATTTGACTTAATGTTGAGTGAGGCTAAGTTGATACAAATGTTTGGGAAAAAATGGTCTGGATAGAATTTATTGCAAGGTGCCATTGCGTTTTCTAACAGCATAGTAGAATAATGATATACTACTGTACTACCGGAATAATGGGATAATGCCTTCAGCAAAGAGCAGCAGACGCCATTTAGGACCAGTTAACTAAGGCAACAACGCATTTTGTTAATGAGCCAAGTTGCTGGGTTTGGTATCTTTAGGGGCTGGGATAATTAATGCGACTTTGTTCCGTCCCCGCTAAATCCCCAATTTCAATCAACTGTCTTGTAAATGTCTTGCAAATTCACATGGTTCATTGCAATCCAAAGTATGTTCCCCATAAACAATGAGTCAGTAGTGAAATGTAGACACTGTGACAACACACTTTATGTTTTTAAGATTGATTAATTTATATTTCATAATACTAAATTTATACAGTTCCAAAAATTAACAACGTATAAAAAAAGTATTTAGTGAAGTTTCTCTCCCATCCCTGCCTCCTATCTGCCTAATTTCCTTTCTCCTTCCCACTAGGTAATCAATACTATTCTTTTCTTACATATTCTTATAAGCAATTCTATATAAGGATACATGAATATGTATTTTTTCTACATCCTTTTAAAAATGAATCATATTGTTCTTTAGCAAGTGTTCTGGAACTTGCCTTTTTCACTGAACAGTATGACATGGAGACCATTCCAAAGAGCTTCCTGGCTATTTCTTCACAGCTGCATAGTGTTCTATTGTGTGGAAGTTCTGTAATGTATTTAACCTTTTCATAGACAGAGATTGTTTCCAACCTTCTGCTATTATAGCAGGGCCACAGTGAACACCATTGTAGGTATTTCATTTTTGTATAAAATAGCAGCATACATTCCATCTCTATCTCTATGATAAATTCCTAGAAGTAGAACTGCTGGGTAAAAAATTTTGATAGCTATTGTCAAATTACCCTCCAATGGGATTGTCCAAATTTATACTCTTATCAGCAATTCATGACAGTGCATTTTCCACAGACTTGCTAGTATATGTTTAATTGAACTTTGGAATTTTTGCCGATCTTATAGATTAAAATAGCATCCTTTTTTTTTTTTTTTTTTTAACAATTTGCATTTATTTTGTTATGAGAGTGAAGTCAGGGAATTTTTCATATTTTTAAGAGCCATTTTTACTTCCTTTTAGTGACATGCCTGCTCATGTATTTTGGTTATTTATTTATTTATTTTTTTTGCTGTTATGTTGTTGGCCTTTTTGTATTGATTTTAGGAACTTTACATATTTTGCATCTTAATAAAAAGGCCAATCTGAGGTCATAATTCTCCCTTGTTATCTTTTGATTCTTAACTTACACTTAAATACTTGATCCATTTGTATTTTATCCTGGAATAGGGTGTGAGGTATAGATCTAACTTTTCTTTACTCACTTCTTCCAATTCCATTTACTGAATTGTTCAACTTTTTCCCACTTTAAGACACCACCTTCATTATAAACCCAAATCCTGTATGTATTTGGGCCTACTTTTTGGGCTTTCTATTCTGTTTCACTGGTCTGTGTATTCAGAGACCAACACCACACATTTTAGTTGATTTAATATCTGGTCAAATTAATTCCCTTCATGTTGCTTTTCTTTATGGAGTTTTTGTGGCTTACTCTGGCTTATGTGTTTTCTATACAAACTTCAGGATCTTCTTTTCTGATAAAAAATGGGTTTGTATTTTTATTAAGATCATGATGAAAATTCAGCTTGGGGAGAACTGGCAACATTTTATGATGATGTCATTTCTATTTAAGAATGATTTTCAAGTCTTCTGGTGTCCTTTAGAAATGTTAAACCTTTTGTCATGTTGGACTTACCTATTTCTGATTAGTTTTATTCATCGTTGTTTAATATTTTAATTGTTATTATAAATGGTGTCTTTTTTACTATGTCTTATTACTGGTTGTGTTAATATATATAAAATTATAATTTCCATTTATTAATTTTGTACCCTGCTAGTTGACTGAATGCTACTGTTTGTAGTAGTTTTTGAGTTAACTTTCTAGAGTTTTAAGATATATATTCATATCTCCTGAAAATAGAGATAGTTTTAATTCCTCAAACCAAATGTTATATAATAGTGATAAAGTAGGTGTCTTTATATGGTTCTGATTGTAGTGGAACTAATTCTTGTGTTTTCCATTATGCATTATGCTACCTTTTGGGTTAAGATAGATTTATTTTTCATGTTTAGGAAGTGGCCATTGGTTCTTATTTTATTGAATGTTTTATCAAGAATGTGTGTTCAATTAAGTCAAATGTCATTCCAGTATCTGTGAATATAGTAATTTGATTTTCCCCCCTTAGATCTATTAATAGGATGAACTTGATGTTTGCCTTGCTGCATACTCACTACAATCTAGTTTATGGCAATTTCATGACCTTTTGGTTTCTGAATTTTAGATTTGCTTAAAGTTTAAAGATAGGGAAGTTTATTTTTATAGATATGCAGAAAAATAACATTTCTTTAATGTAATGCAGGTGACTTGGGAGAAAAGGGGGAGCGTGGCCCTCCAGGAAGAGGTCCCAAAGGTTTGCCTGGAGCTGTAGGTCTCCCAGGTAAGTGTGCTGTATAGCTGAGAGGAGGAGGTAGCCAAATTGGTAGCAAGTCGACGGCCTGAATTGAATAAACTTTTAAAATAATTGTTATTTGATCACTTAAGCATATTAATTATTCAGAATGGCTAGCACAGATTTTTCAAGACCAGCTTTAGTAAAGAATGATCTGTAAATCATATCTGTATTCTTTGTCAGAAAATAGATATCAGGACTTGAAATACTAATTTCCTTAAATGCTTCAAGAAAAATAGTATCAAGGTCCAGGCACAATGCACTTGTTATAAAATTCTAAATACATTGGATCCTATCTATTTCTAAAGCAGGTGATAGTTTCCTTTTTTTTTTTTTTTTAATCTAAAATGCCAGAGCAGTAGGAAAATTAACCAGTTTTTAATCTCTTGCACAAAAAGTAACCGAAATTTTATTTTAAAAGCTCCCCTTACAAACACCCTTCAAAACCCCACATCCACAAAAAAAAAAAAAAAAAGAAAGAAAGAAAATACAAAACTGAACATTCCTACTCATAACCACTAAGAGCCACACGCAAGCCACACATCACAGCTGCGTCAACTGAGGTGACAGGGTAGCCCCTGTGTGAAGGGCCCAGAGTCTGTCACTGGGCCTTCTGTTCTCTTTATACACTGGCTACCCTGTCACCAGAGTCCAGGCTGGAACACACTCATCCCTTGAGAAATGACTTACAAGGCCAAGCACAGAGGCAGCATAGCAGGGCCAAAAGCCAGTTCAGTTTAAGGGCATGAATGATGCTCAACTTCCAGCAAACGCTCTCTTATTGTGTTGAGGCAGTGGCTTAGGAAGGCCCCCAAAGCCCTAGGGGTCTGTTGCTGAGGAGAATTGAGATGATATTTGCTTCCACAATGGTTTGGGAAAACTTGGTTTAGGGAAGTTTAGGAAAAGAAATTACAATTTTCAAATTCTGCCAGAGGCTGATGTATTTAATCGCAGCTATAATTGTAGCCAAAAACATCATTGCTTTCCAATTATCCATTTCATTGCTTCTGGGGATTGCGTTCTCATTAAAATATTTTTTTAAAAAACATGAATGTGTGGAGATAACTCAAACACTGCCTTTCTAAAACTGATTCATGGGCTCGTCAAAATGTTTTCACAAATTGATAAATTTTTATAATTGGAAATGGAAGATTTATGATTAGAAATGAAGGGAAAATCTGGCTTAAATGGGATTTAGAGAAGATTTTAATATGTGGTAAAGCTTGGATTCATTGATTGGTGTTTAAAGGAGAGGAAAAGGAAATAGAATTTACTAAAGGTGTTTGTCTCTGTCACCGGTGGTAGGAATAGGAAGTTTTGAGGCTGATAACATATTATCATCACAATTTACTTAACTATCTATATATTTATGAGATAGCCTAATAACTTCTTTTCTCATTTTATTGACAAATCACTTAACAGTTCTTGAACCAGTGACTTGCACTATTGGCAACATTTTCCTTTATTGAAAAAGTATTCTGGTTTCTAGGGATTCTTACTTTGAAAAAAATCTATTGGTAAGCCACATTTTCAATGTAAAGATGAGAAGATGGAGGAAGATCAGCTCCATGTGTGCTGTGTCCCAGACTGTCAGGAGCACATTATCTCCCACCTGCAGTAAACCATTTTCAGGAGCCGAGTTGATGGGGGCGCAAACGGGGTGCCCAGCCAGAGGGGCTTCCCTGATTGCTTTTTCTAAATCAGACCATCCACGTGTAAGCAAATTGTGAGGTAGGACAAGATCATCATCTGCAGCCCTCCCTGGGATCACTTATAAACAAAATGATTAATTTCAGCTGATCTTGGATTTGATCTTAAATCTGAATTGTTAAAACATTTTGTGCACTCCCTTTTCCAGGGGACTCTTAATACCTGTCCTTTCTGTTTTCCTTTTCCTTTCTTCCTTTGGTCGGTCCTTGCCCCTCCTTTCCTAGGATTCACCTCCAAAATCGTCGCCCTCCTCTGATCTCTCCCCTCCTCTCACCTTGCTCTCTCCCCATCAACTCTGATTGTCTCCCATCCTTCTCACCTCCCAGCTTACTCTTCTTTCTTGATTTCCTTGTTATGGTTACTCATGTCTCAACCTCGGTAGTCTTCCTTTTTTAGACTTTTGCTACCTTTTAATTGAGAGGATATCTGACACTGTTTAGTGAAAAATCTGAGTTCCAGATTATTTTTCAGGAATATAGGCTAACTTTCAAAAGCACAGATGCCAGAGAAGAGGGGTCTGCTGCTGGGTCGTTTTCTGCGCTTTGGCGCAGTGTCCTCGTGTAGCTCGCAGGTGAAAGCACCAGCTGAGGGCTTGGGTTTCAAGGTCGGCCCATGTTCTCTTGTTGACACCGTGCGTATGCTCAAGTCAGTCAAGTTCCTGACAAGAGCTTTTTGGGTCATTCCTCCCTTAAAGCTAGTACCCGAAAGTGGGCTGTTTGAAGAGTGGCTTCTACAATTCAGACATCCCAGGTTCACATTTTGACTCTGCCACTAACTAACTTTATGACATTGGGCATGTTACTTAATTTCTCTGCACCTCAGTTCTCCCATTTGTAAAACAGTGATAACAAGGACACCTCTCTGATAGTGTATTTCTGAGAAATAAAGAAACTCAATCGATGTAAATTGCTTCAGACAGTTCCTGGCTACAGTAGGCGCTCAAGAAATGTTGGCTGTTGGTACTATTATTAATAAAGCAAGTCCACTTTTTGCTTTTTAAGGTGGATCAAGGAGAGCTGAAGGCAAAGCTGGGCCCCAGTTCAGCCCTTGCAGCTTTTTTCTCTTGCTCTTGATCAGCAGTAATATATTACTCTTCTCTAAATCAGCACCGCCCCGATGCCTCAGACTTTCTCTCCATGAAAGTCTACTTCAACTCCAAATCACAAATGCAAAGTACTGGGTAGCAGTACATCATTTCACTGGTTAATTGTCCACTGAGGCTAGACTGCTTTTTATTTCCTGGTAGAGCTTGAATGTGTCTAGGAATGTGATTTCTGATCTCTCACAAACATATTATTAATACGACTTTAAGGCCTGAGGGACCTTCAACCAGATTCTGTGCAGGGATTTGTCTGGAACCTTCTAGATAAATACACATCTTACCTAAAAGAAAGAGCCTAAAAAAAAAAAAGAAAGAAAGAACCTGCAGAACAGCATATTCTGCAACCTTCTTTGTTGTTTCTATTGTTGGATTTGGGGCTCAAATCCTCCTGAATAAAAAAAAGATAGTTGGATCATTCTTTGTGCTAAGGCATTTAACATATTTTTTTACGATGTAACTAATATCATCATTTTCTATCAGTTGTTAGAGTTCCTGTATTCTTTCTGGACAGTTTTAATTCCCTGTCTCCCCTCTCCAATGCTCTATCTCTGTTTGTTCAGTGTTAAGTATTACATGCCCTGTAGAGACATAATGCTACATTGCTTGTTATGGAACACAGGTTATTATTATAACCATTACATTGATGATTATTTTGGCTACAGTGCTTTGTTGTTTAAAAAGTACACATACACAATCTAGTTTGTTTCTCACAGCCAGGAGTAGGCTGGGCAAATATTTAAGAAGTGCAGACATGGAGCCAGGCTGCCAGGGGCTTATGCACTATTCTTTTACCTCGAAGTGCTTCAGTTTCCTCTTCTGTGAATGGAAATCACCATGCCTACCTTGTATTTAGAGCATATATGCACATGTTAATACATGTAAAGCTCTTGGAACATGTAAAGCCTGGCATATGGCAAACAGACACTCTGCAAATTTAACTATTATTATTGTTGCTTCCTTTTTCATAATATATTTGAGAAAATACAGACTCTTAAATTCATGTCCTGACAAAAGTCTCTCAGGTAATAACAAGACATATTCATGCTTCCTGAGTCTGTGTTCACAAAGTGGACAGAATGATTGGCTGTCTGTCCAATCATACGATTAGTTTTTCTTTGTAACCTAGACATGTGAATTGGGCATGTCCCATAACTGCTGGGTGTCTTGCTTCTTTCTCTGCCTCTCTTGCAGAGCTACGTGGATCACATTAGCAATCCCTGGAACTTTAGTCTCCCCCACCTTCAGTTTTGTGCCACAGGTCAGCCAGTGTTATTGCTTGGTTGGTTGTCTTATAGGTCTCTCTCTGTCTGCTGCCACCAAACTTGCCTATTTGGGACTAGTTCCTTGTCACTCTGAGGATTTTAAAGGAACATTTTATTAATAATAATGAGTCCTGATTTCCTCTTTGTGCACTCACTGGGGCAAAACATACATTAAATGACAAATCATTTGAATGTGAACACCAGGAAGGTGACTTGTGAGCTGAGATGCTTTTTGCCTCTTGGACATGGAAGTTATAGCTGGCTTTGTGCTGGGCTATACTAGATTGTAAGAATATTTGTTTTTCTTGTGCAAAGTCTGCAGAAAGGTGAGCTTTGCTTGAGACTATTGAGTGGAAAAATACACACGCACACATTCAGTTCTGGGCTAAGTTTTTCAGTACCTAATTATTCAATTTCCATTGCTGCAGCTGTTTTATTTGGTTGCTGGGCCTTACATAAACCAATTTACAATTCTTTAAACATATACTGCTTTGTCAAATACCACAACATTAAGCTCAAGAAATATAAGAAAGTCCTGGTACATACAAAAAGTCTACATAACCAGTAGATTAATTATGAAATACCCTATTTAATATGAAAATTATTCACTTTATTTTATTTTATTTTTTTACTGTATACACAGTCCCTTTTATTCCATAGCATGTATTAGGTAAGGGGCTGCCTCCAGAATGAGCCAGCCAGGATTGGCTTCCGTCAGTGTAACTTGACTACCCTCTAGTGGTTTTATAGAGAATGATATAGATACTCATTTCTTAAATAAATAATAATAATTTTTTAAAAAACCATGAAATGTTTGGCAATAACATTTCTAAATATTTTATTTTAATTGCCATATAATAGTTACACATATTTATGGGATACATAGTGATGTTTCAATGGAAATATTATATAATGACCAGATTAGGGTAATTAGTCTATCCATCATCTCAAACATTTATCATTTCTTTGTATTGGGAACATTCAACATTTTTATAGGTCCTTGACATTTCAGAAAACCATGTAATCATGAGGCAGTTAGTGTAAGTATCACACACATGAGGCAGGCAGAGCAGAATAACACTTTAGATCCACACTCTCTTTCTAAAGAGTTACAAAGCAGTTGGTAGATACTCATTAATGCAGCTGCTGGACTAACCATTTATGCCCATTTTGTGAACAGTTATGAGTCAGCTTCACTTTTTGAGTGATGTGGACTGTGGACATAGTGTCACCCAACTGAGGCTCCCACATAGTTCAGAACATCCATGAGAGCAAAGGCCCTGATTAAGGACTCTCCAGAGCCTGACAATCTGCTATGTTAAGGCGGTTTTTTCTCTGGTATTTCTACAGGGCAAAACCTCAGAAAAATATCTTAGTTTCTTATGATCAGTAGAGCTCTGCAAAAATCAATACTGCTCTTTGTTTTTGTGCCTCTGTCTACTTCCTGGTCAACTCAGGCCCAAGGAATTAAAAACAAACACACACACACAAAACAATGACAACACACACACACACCCTGCCACACACCTCCACACCCTTCCACAGAGTTAAAAAATCAATAGGTGGGAAAATGCAGTTAGATTAGTGCAGTGGCTAAGGGTCTTCATTTCTAGCTATATGACTATGGACAATTATTTGATCTTCCTAACTCTCAGTTCATACATGAGAAAAATGGGCTCAGTAATGAGCATAGTGTATGGCACATGGAAACGAGAAAGCATTCTCATTAAGCGTTGGTGATGATGATGATGATGACATCATCCAAAGCTCCAAAGTGGTAAATTGCTGCATTTGGCAAAGGCAGAATTGGATGAGATGCACGTTTCATAAAATAAATCAAGGGTAGACAGGATGGCTTCATCAACCCTTCCCTCAGAGGATAAGCAGAAATTTGGAATAAACTCAGCAAGGTTAAAAAGAAAAAGAAAAACTTCTCCTGGAGTGTGTTGATGGGGAACCAAATGTGAAAATCTAAAAAGCTATCCTTCTGCTTTTTAATATTGTTTGTGTATTAGAGAATGAATTCTCTTAAACTTAAGGTTTTTGGTTGGCTCTACAAATGTTGAAAAAAAATTGAATTGGTTGCTAACATTTAAACATTGGGAGATATTTATTTAAAAACTCAGCTTCCTGGCTTCTCTTGAAAATTATCAGAAGTTCTGGCAACACTGGCCTGTATTCGCCGATGGCAGCTGTTAGCTGGAGAAGAGCTGCTGCCTGCATCCACTTTCCAGCTCACCACAGGCCTCACTCCTCCCTTTGGTCTCCCCAACACTTATGTGGAATATTAGTGGCCAAATTTCATTGCATTTGTCCTTTACGTTTCCATCTCATAAAAACAGTGGGGGAATTTCTTAATCCAGGCTCATTTCTTTATCACATCAGGGATCAGCAAACCTTATTTGTGAAGGATCAGATTATTTGGCTATGGGCACCATATTGCAGCTACTCAACTCTGCCCTGGTATGCCAAAGCAGCCACAGACAATATGTAAACAAATGGCCATGGTTGTGTTCTAATAAAACTATTTACAAAACCAGGATTTAGCTCATGAGCTGAAGTTTGCCCACCCCTGGTCTAAGTGACCATCCCAGCCCCTGTGCTCATTTGGTTTTCTACCTCTTCTCTGGGCATTTCCTTCTCCTAAACTTGATTTGATTTTAAGGCACACCTGGTGTGTCTCAGTGGGGACATTCCTACTGATAAGGTGCATGAAAATCAGATTTAGATCTGGCTCATCGTTTAAACTTTAAAAAAACCAACTTCACCTTTAACTGCATCTGGTGTTAAGGATCTTAACAGGTGCTGCTGAAGGCATCGTTCTGCTACAGCTTTATCTACAGATGCTGGGGATTAGGGAGACACTTTCTCAGGGGCCTCATCATTAAAAGAAAACACGTAATGGTTTGCTTCATACTAACTAGGTATAGTTGAATGAAAGTGTATGGGGTAAATTAGGGAAAATGACTTATATCTCTGTTTATCTATAGCTTCGAGATGGATAATTATTCAAAGATAATTATTCCCCCTTAAAACTTATTAATATATTGCCCTATGACATTGCTTTGTGTGGATCGAAGTGTATGCAGCAGAGGAAGAATGAGATGTTACGTAAAACGAGATCTCTGACCTACCTTCTTTCTAAAAGTATGTGAGATATATGTAATCAGACCACTGAATAAGACCATATTACTATAGTAAGACCAACAAAAGACATGTAATAAGACTACTCAAATAGAAAAAGAAAAGTAAAAACCACAGAGAAAGAAGGAAAGTAACCAAATATAAGCAAATATGTAGTTGAACATGTGGATTTGGCTTCCAGCTTTTTGGCTGAAAGACCAAGTTAAGATGGCTGAGATGGAATGAAGATCCCTATATTATTTTGGCATACACAATTTGTTTTACACGATTTCTTATCACCACTTTTGCAATGATTGTGTGAAAGTGCTGCTGGTGCATTGGGGTAAACATTCAGCAGACATTCCTCTTTGTTATGGGGTGCTGTGCCTCAGAGAGTGTGCCCCATTGAGGGCAACGTACAACCCTTAAACACGACAAAAGGAAGACAAGCAAGAAATGTCCCCCAAAGAACCTGCTATGGCAAAGTTCATGTTGGGGTCACCCTTCATGAGAAAAATATCATGAAATTTTGTAGGGCACATGGCACAGCCTTCTCAAAGATATTAATCAATAAGATCTCAATAATTATAATAATAGCCCCTACTTATCAGGTGCTTTCAATTGTAGAATTTAATTGTTATTATTATTATTTTTATTTTTAAGATGAAGTCTTGTTCTGTCGCCCAGGCTGGAGTGCAGTGGCGTGATCTCGGCTCACTGCAATCTCTGCCTCCCGGGTGCAAGTAATTCTCCTGCCTCAGCCTCCCAAGTAGGTGGGACTACAGGCATACACCACCATGCCTGGCTAATTTTTTCATATTTTTAGTAGAGATGAGGTTTCACCATTTTGGCCAGGCTGGTCTTGAACTCCTGACCTCAGGTGATCCGCCCACCTTGGCCTCCCAAAGTGCTGGGATTATAGGCGTGAGCCACTGCACCTGGCCTGAATTTAATTGTTAAGAAGACATTATAGCATCTTGTAGATGAAGAAACTGAGAGATTAGTGACTTGCTAATGTCACATTATTCATAAATGATAGGGCTAGAATGTAAAGCTATTTGTCTCTAAAACCTGTGTTTTTAACCACTAAACTATACTTCTCCCTGCCCAGATGTTGCTCAACTATTAGAAGTAAGGAATACTGCTACTTGCATTCAAAAGAAATACAATGTGAGCCACAAATGTGAGTTGCATGTATGATTTTAAATCAAGTGGCCACATGAAAAAGGTAAAAATAATCAGGTGACATTAGTTTTAACAATATAGTTTACTTAACCCACTGTGTGCAAAAGATCATTTCATCATGTAATAGGCACAAAACTTTTTAATGAACTATTTTCCATTTTTTTTCATATGAAGTCTTTAAAATCCAGGTGTGTTTGATACTTAGTTCATCTCCATTTGGCCTCATCACATTTCAGCGCTCAACAGACACCTATGGCTGGAGGCTACCATGGTGCACAGTGCCGCTCTACTGATGGAAATGTGGGTTAGAGACACTAAGGTCTCTTTCTACTTTTTATTTCCAAGAAAACCCAAGTCCAAGGAAGGGATCTTATTATCATCATCATCATCATCTTCATCACCAATCATCACCAGTCATCATCCATCGTTTCCAAAAGCGTTTGTTAAGCCCCTTATCTGAGCACTGCTGAGCTGTGAGGGTCCAGTGCCCTCTGCCAGTTTGCATTGATGAGGATTCTCCGGCTCACATGTGCAATCTTCTGTGTGTTTCAGGTGACCCAGGCCCTGCCAGCTATGGGAGAAATGGCCGAGACGGTGAACGAGGCCCCCCTGGGGTGGCAGGAATTCCTGGCGTGCCTGGACCCCCGGGACCTCCTGGGCTTCCCGGTTTCTGTGAGCCAGCCTCCTGCACCATGCAGGCTGGTCAGCGAGCATTTATCAAAGGGCCTGACCCATGAAAGGCCTTGTGCTGCATGACTCTCTGCATGAACCACGCCTGGTGAAGGAGCTTGGGGGAGAAACACCACCCAAAGCTGGGGCAAAGATGATTACCTTCAGCATGATTCCAATGTATTACCTTCAGCATGATTACGGAAGTCCTACTTGACAATCACATTTAGAAGAACGGTGCTATTCAGTAAGTTCTCTTTCCTTTCCCTTGGAGGGAAGACAGCAGAGTCATCAGTTAAAAAAAAAAAAAAAAAAAGAAAACCAAACACCTCCCTTGAGTAAATTTATACTCCTGTTCCCAGGATCTTGAGCTTTAGTGTGCTATACCTATGTGTCTTATCGTGGGCCACTGTGCCAATAAACAAAAACAACTGTTTGGTTTACCTCAGTTGCAGTAGTTATTTTCATTTAGATGTTGTTCTCAGATTATTGTTTCAGTTATATAGAGGATTACTAGACTAGTTATGAAAAAAACCCCACTACATTCAATAGAATTGGTGCTTAAAATCCCATCGATGTGCTGTCTCTGGAGTAAGAAAGGGCTACATCGCCCAAAATGATTTCCTTATGTCACGTATTGGTTTTCTTCTTCAGCCTGAACTTTTGTTGAACTGTATGTACTGTATCCCAAACCTGTTAATATTTTGACTGCTTCTATGTGAAAGCAAAGAAATAATTTTAATACTCTGGCATTCACAAATTTTATTGATGAGATTATTTATTTTAAAGGTTTGAGGTAACATCTCTGGTTGTACCAAAGAAGAAATAAATATGGTTTCTTAATCTCTTGCATGTTTTCTTATAAATAATCATGTTCAATGAAAAGAAGCTACTGAGCTTATTTAGATACATTAAACATTACTTAACTACTGGTTCTATAGGTGTATGTTTATAATATTAGTGTTTTTTCCACATAGAGTAATTTAAAAAGCTGTTCCACAGAGGGTGTTACCCTGTGAGAGATGTGTGTGTGTGTGTGTGTCTGTGTGTGTGTTTTAGTGTGTATGGGGAGAGCTCCATGGACCTTTTTGAAATGTTAATTCCCTAGCAAGATGTGCAGCTGCATATGCATCTATATTTTTGTATAGTAGTTCAGAGATTTCGTGGACTCTTTTAAGTCTAGCTTTGCTTTATTTCTAGGTTAAGAATCACTGTGTTCATTCCAATGGTTTGTTAGCTCCCTCCTACTCAGAACTTTATTGCAAACATGATTTATGTTTCACCATTTCTTGTAAATTTTATAAAGGCAGCTCAGCTAAAGCACTGTATTCTTAACAAGTATTTCCTGACCACTTAAGCACTTTGTTATTATTTATGTAATCATATTGACTTGCTGTTTCATTAACATCTACTTAACTATCCAACAGACTTAATATATTCATTTTATATCACAGAGCCTATGAGTAACCTGTGCTGGGGCATAGAACAATAGCTTAACATAGTATCTTTAGTTTATGGAACTAAATTCTGTCAAGTCAAAGGAGAGTGAGCCCTAATATAATACTTATATTTTTTTCTCATGTGTATTTTATACATTTAAAAATTCTAGTCCTAGTTGTTTGGTTAAATCAATCATTATGTAATCTGTATTTGGATTTCTTTAAAACTGCTTACAGCATCTAGTTTTATGCTTCTAGCATGAATTTTGCTTGAGAAGATTCTTTGCCATATAGATCAGTGCTATTTACATAGACTGAAAGAATGTTCTTTCCCTTTTTTCGAACATTATTTTTGAAAATAAAGGTCTCTGTTATAGCTCCCTAAAACAATACAAAAAAAGGCAAACTTTTTCAGGAGCTGTGACACATAATGAAATAAATGCATAGAAATTATCCTTTCACCAAAGTGCTTTTATTTTAAATAGAGTGACATAATCAAATACAATAAAAGAAAAATTAGATAATCAAACGTTTCTAAGTTTTATAATATTCATAAGACAATTAAAAAAATAAAATGTCAAAGAACAGTTCACTCAGCTGTTCTACAAACCTGGTTATGTAAAGGTTGTACAACGAGCTTCACAGATACAGTCAGCAACATTGGAAACAACCACTTAGAAACAGATGATGCAAAACTACCACATTCCGAATGGCAGGAATGATTCGTTATAAATTTCAGTTAAGTGAAGTAGTTTAGAGAAGCAGAAGATACTTGACTTAGAAATTGTAAGGAAAAGCCCCCAGCAAATTCTCTCCATGCAAGAGAGTTGATAAATGTTGAATCTGACCAAGTATGTCTCTCTAGCAAAATAGAAATCTCAAATCCTCTCTGAGATATTTTTGAAAGTTGGACGAAGTGGCAACTAGAGCATTCACTGAGAGAGGAGAGTGTAAATAAATAAAGTTGGTTCGAACCTGGCATGTTAATTACGGGCAAATGATTCCTGATTTATTTCTAGCCAGTGCTTCTATGGCAGTATGATATGATTTTCAACCCAAATATCTGACATGTTGGTTAAGAACTATGCAAATCACTTCCTAGGCTGATTGAGCACATAAATTCACTGGCATGGTTTTGGGTAATTGGCTTCTGCACAGCAGAAGAGTATGAATGAGTAGTCATACCAGGATAGGTGATTGATTTGATTATTTAGATACTTTATATTTCAAGCTGACTGAACCAAGATTGTTGTTCTTAAACATCATTAGTAAAATCTGATTTGCCACCTGAAATAAGCTTAATATAAATTCTTGCTTTAGAAGATCACCTGTATTGTATTTTTAAAATTTTTTGGTGATTATAGTGTTTCTGAGATATAGTCTCTGAGTTTAAAAGTAAACCAAGGCCGGGCATGGTGGCTCACACCTGTAATCCCAACACTTTGAAAGGCCAAGGTGGGAGGATAGCTTGAACCCAGGAGTTCCAGACCAGCCTGGGCAAGATGGTGAGTCTCCTATCTCTACAAAACTAAAAACAAATTAAAACATTAGCCAGGCATGGTGGTGAGCGCCTGAAGTCCCAACTACTTGGGAGGCTGAGGTTGGAGGATCGCTTGAGACCAGGAGTTTGAAGCCATGGTTAGCTATGATCACGCTACTGCACTCTAGCCTGGGCGACAGAACAAGACCCTGTCTCTAAAAAAACTAAGTAAATCAACATAGGTGGAAAACCAATAGAAATACTGTTTTCTAAATATCAAGAAAATTGCTTTAAAATATTTGCTGGTAGCCTGACAAAAGAAGTGAAAACTCAGTATTAAGGAAAAAATACTAGCAAACTTGCAATCTTGCTGTTTATAGAGGGGTGACTGACATAAATGATTTTAATTATCTTTTTTAAAAAGAATACTTGTGTTCAGTAAACATAGGTCAAGTCATTTTGTACAAAGTAAAATAAATACTTTTCAATTGTGCAGTCTTCTTTGGTGAGTTGTGATCCAGGGCATGACAGTATAAAGTACCTATGACTGAGGAACTATTAAGTCAAAATGGGCTGACTGTAGTAATGCCTGTCTGTAAATACACATGCTCAAGTGCTCTTTGAATGATCAACGAGAGGAAGTGTAACATATTTGATTGATCTGGCTATCAGGAAGAGGATGCTGCTAACTGAAAATTACTTTTAGTTTTAATAAATGGTAATTCATGCTAACTCTCTGCTTAACATGCCTTCACAAATTACTCTTGATTCCAAGTTATCAAAACATAGCTGGAGAGAGAACAAGTGAGGGAAACTGTCTCCAACAAACTACCTCTCTTTCTGAGATATATTTGAAATTTCATTTTGTCTCTAAGTTGAAAATGTGTGTGTGAAAAGACAACAATATTCTTTAGAGCACCTAGTTAATTTATCCAAAGGGGGCCTGAAGATAGGAATAGTTAAGAACTATGTAAGTTATTACCCGGTATAAGTAAACATATAAATCCTCTGGCACGTTTTGATGTAATTAATTTCTGTTAAGAAAACCTGCTATGTATTTAACTACTTATTGCCTATTGCCTTATCACTCATGGTGTAAAAGCTTCTATGGATGAGAAAAGTTAATTGTGTTAGTTCTTATCTCCCTCAGGGACCTCTATAGCAAAAAGTCTCACATGATTTTAGTGAGATGATCACTCTGGGGGTCAAAAGTCCCAAAGAACTGCCCGTTTTCTGGTTTTTGTTTCTGTTTATAATTCTTATCTGAAATAATTAGACTAGGGTTTTTATGAACTAGGCTTTTATGAACCCAGGGAGATGGGTGACAAACCTGATTATTTCAAGCTGAGCTTGAAAGCTTATTCATGTGACAAAGAAAACTATAATGATGGTATAAACATGAACCCTGCAATAGACCAATTAAGGTTCCTTGGACACCTGTGGGGCTCTTGGTTAGCCAAGAGTGCTTCTGGAGCATCCCCATGGTTGATACCAAACAGAACGGACTGAAGTGTGGAGCTTCAGCCATGGCAAGTGATGAAGAGTAGATATGGCCTTAATAATTGCACCTTAGATTTCCTTGACATAGGGTCAGATCCTTTATTGCTGAGACAGGTGACAAGCTCATTATGCATAATGAACACGTAGGAATCAAGGCCTCAAAGCATTACGCCCATGTGGGATTTTGAATAAAACTAGTGCCATTGCACTTAACATGAGTATATTCAATTAAACCTTAAAGAGTTTGATGAGGTAAGATAGAGAGCAAACAAAATGGGGGAAAACACACCCTAAATGTTATTTAAAAATAAATAGTTGTAAAATATGCCCAATACAACCTGAATTTAAAGACATTAATGCGCTGAGAAACATTTATCCCCAAAATGTACTTTACCTAACACAATAAAATAAAAAGTTGTAAAATAGCCAGCATCTTTACTTACACCCAGAAGCTTAGTATGGTCACACAATACACACACTTCTGATGAACTTAAGTCTTATTTACCCCCTCATTTAGTGAAGCCTCCCACTTTATTAGTATTCACTTTTGACAAATTCATGAAGCAAATAACTAACTCCTCCAGTTGTACCACATCACTCACTACTGGATCTGAACTTGCAGTTTTTTTTTCCACTTAGATTTTCTTAGACTTAGCTTTGGTCTTATAAGCTTGTCTTATCTTTCAGGCAAAGTTTTGCTGTGCTGGGTCTACTTGTCTGGATGAGTTTTCTCTGTGTTCACTTGGTTCTTCATCCAATTTAACCAAATTGATCAGTTACTCTAGCATGATTTTGTTGAGTAAAACGTTTGAATTTTAGCTCCAGGTATGCCACACAATAAAAATGATGACACTCATTTGTCCTATTGCCTGAGACTTTTAGTAGTTGAACAAATTTAACATAATTAATGCTACCTTTACCAGCCAACTAATAAATCAACACTATTCAACGTTCTAAGACACTTTGAATTATGTAGGCATACAAGATACAAATTCAATTCTCTTCTGCATCTCCTCCTCTTCAAAGCCTGCATAATCTATGTGAGCAGAGATGGTACAAAAGGGGGATGGTACAAAAATGCGTCAACACTCAAATATTAAGAAACAACGCTGGGAAACTGTGACAGTAAACACTTGTGTGTCTTTAGAAGGTGGATACAGACAAATGTGAAAAATAACTTAGGAACAAAAGCAATGGACAAATCTGCAAAACTCTTCTGAGTATCCATTAAAACAACTTCAGCAAAACACTTAACTGAGAAATTCCCAATCCCAGTGTATTATTAGTCTTAGGAAAATAAAAATGGTACTTTTTTTTAAAAAAAAAAGGTATTCCTAATCGTACTTTTGTAAATAGTGATGTATTCTAGAAAAATATAAACATTATACAAATCTAATTGTAAAATTTTAAGTACACTGAACAATATAGAGTTTAGACATTATGTAGTTTTATAAATTGTCTACTTCTTGTGATAAGCTAAATCTTTTTTCTTGTCTGTTGAAAGAGTATC